TTAAGGAACAACGCAATCTGCAACATTAACTGAAATAGATAATTGGATAATTTTAACCTAGCTTATACCGTCTCTTATACATTAAATGCGCATGCGTAAAAGTATTTTGCGCTTGCGTAAACACATTAATGCGTTTACGCATGCGCAGACAGTTTGTAGCTTTGAGGTCCGGATTATAGATCATTCCAGATTATGGACATCCGGATTAAAGACTTTGTATTGTACTTTCATTGTGCTCTCCTGATCACTGCTTCTTAGCAAATGAAATGACATTGTATATGCTACATCATCATGGTCTTACATTGTTGTTATATTTAACAATGACCATGTACTACATATTTGAAAATCTCTTGACTTCCTCATTCTACTCTGTACAGTAAAATGCAGGAAATACTATAAATGAAGAATCATTTCCCATATCTGGAAAATTCTTTCATTATTTAATTTGCGGATTCCAGTCATGTTATTAAAAATCACTTATTGTTTCAAAAATAGTAATTCTTCTTAGGAAGCATTGCAGCTAACTTTTGTTAAATAAATTCAGTAAGTCAACAAAAAGTATTAAAAACCATCTGACTACAGTAGAGTTTAGAGATCTGATAGGTTTCTTAGTGAATATTCATCTAACTCATGTATTGGTTAAGGTAGTGCTGAAAGTTCCCAATTGGTTTAAAGTCTAAGGAATTGTATGTTCAAATATGTGGATTTTAGGGTTTTGTATGCTTCTGAAGTCATTTGTAAGCAATTTTAATTCCATGTACAGTACATTATCATGCTGCTAAGCTTCATTGCCTTTTAGGCACATAATCATGATACGAAGGTGTACGTGATGTTTGAGAAACAACCATTTGCAATTTTTTGCCTTCTAGAGAGATTAGCTTTCTGAAGGCATACCATGAAAGCAAATGACCTTGTGTAACTACCATAATGTTACCATTCTGGTTTGTTAGTATGTAACTACCATAATGTTACCATTAGTTAGCAGCAGCCGTGAACTATTGGATTTAGCATTATACTTTGGGACCTTTTCATAAAATGTGTACATCTAGTTATATCTCGATATCTGCTCATGGAAGTTTCTCTTCTCAATAGAGTAGATAGATGTCGACGCTTAAAATGCTACTATATATTCAATGTATAAGGAAGAAACTATGACTTATGAGAGAGGACTGTCGTTTAACTTGGATCCCAATATAGCAATGCAAATTTGTATTTTCAATGCATAACTTTCACTACATGTGCTGTCTCAAATTCTGTTTTATAATACAGTGTGTACCAGCCTTCTTGTGGTTTCTGGATTCAGTTGAGAATTATTGATCCACAGTAAGTTGCCATGCATCCATGATACCCATGATTGAATTCAGTATCACATAAAGTCTCACTGTCGGCATAAACACTTTTCCAACCTTAATAGACTTTTAACTACTGCAGCACAGGGTGTGCTGTTTTCTTTAATGCTGATTTCTCAGACCTGATGATCATTGATAATTTTTCTCACCAAGATAAATTATTATTGATCTATTTTTGAAGATTTGGATGACATTTAAAAATATATAATGTTTTGTCCATAACAATGTTTGTTACTGTGTACCTTAGGGTGTTTCATTTTGTAAGGCAAAAAAATAAAATATAAAATTTTTTCAGACTTTGCTTACTTCCCAAATCTCAGTAAAGTAAAAGATATATATGCTAAATTTCAAGAAGATTGGATAATATATAGAGGTTGCAACTTTGATCAGTTTTGTAAAAATAGGCAAACCCGATTTTTCAATGTTAATTACTTTTAGTGTTAAAACTAGAATTTACAAACTTAAGTAAATATTAAAATTAGACACTAAGATTAATCGGTAGTATGGTAGACAAAACGTGTTACATTAATCAACTTTGAACGATGCAGTCCCTTCTTATGTTTACTTGGTGAAAACTTTGCTGTGATGCTCGACTACAGTCAACAAAAATTGTTTTTGTTACTTGTCCCTGATTGATTCATGAAACTTTTTTGTCAGAGCAATTCCTCTGTCTGTGGTATCATTGACCACCTTAAGAGCATTCACATGGTTTCTTAGAGAATCACTGCAGTATTCTGTCCTGTCGTGGATCTCAAACAATTCAGAGAATGTCTTTGTTTTATTAATAACATAGTGGTTCAGGTCTTTTCCTTCAAAAATTAGGTTTTTACCCTCTAATAATTTTCTTTTGCTTTGCAAATCTGGTTTCTAAATTTTCAGTCATATTTTCCTCATCAGCCTGAGTAATACATTTGTCCAAAAAAGCCGTCATCCAAAAAAGCCTATTCTACATTTGTTTCTGACAGATACCAAAGTTATCTCTTAGCAACTGTGAAAGCACTTTTTATTTTTTTTTAAATGTCTGCATCTATGTTAAATGCTGAGAAGCTGAAGCATATACGAATCATTCTTTAGAGCCCCATTGGCTTTCAATTGCCATCTGCCAAAAGTGAACATATATGAGGCTGACAAAATGTGCAACCTGTTTCCTTTCAATTCTTGTTGAGGAATATTCAATTATTTAGTGAAGAAGACAATATTAAGTACATATGTTGCCTTTGCCATGCATTGTGCTTGATGTTAAGACCAACCTCCGAGGTACAGGAGTGAGGAGAGTTGTAATAACTCTTTTGTAGTCTTCTTTTGGATGACTTCCATCTTTTAGGACATTTTGAATGCAGTTAATCATTTTCACTCATTGTTTTTGTAGAAATAGTGAAACAGGACTTTCTTCTTCCAACATTGTCGTATATGACTTCTTTACCAAGTGAAACCCAGAGACTTTGGAGGCCCACCAGCTGCCGAGCGGCTAAAGTCGCTGAACAATGGTAGCTCGGTCTGAGGTTCAAATCCCGCAAACAGGCTGGCTGCATATGCGTTTTTCATGTTTTTCTCATTGTGTAATGTATATACAAGCCAATTTCCCTTAGAAAGTCCTCCATGAAGGTATCCCTCCCCTTAGGCAGATAGCCTTAGGTGCTTTGCCATAATTAAATAAACCAAACCAAACCCAGAGACTTTGGAACTTCTGAAAAATCTGGATGTCAGGACCAGTTGATGGTATGCCACAAAACTCTTCAAATACTCCTTTTCAGTATTAGTTCATGAGTATGATACGACAAGCCAACTACAACAATGCTTGTCCAAATTCCCTCTCAATTCTGGTAGTCCCATGAATCAGTCCAGTGTTAGAGGCTGTGGTATCAAAAGAGATACCGGTGATATTATCAAGTAGCCCAGATCGGTCCATTTTATAAAGAACTACGTCAGCCATCTACTCACCAGTGCCTTTCAGGGCAACAGTTACGCCAAGTAAAAGCTCACAAAGTTTTTGCTATTCACTAGAACCGCAAAGTTTCCAATATTTTGGCACTCCTATGGGCAACAGTTTGCTATGCAAATGAAAGCCCAAAAGAGGAGGATTTTCAAAGAATGACTGTTCCATTTTCTTTGCCATTCTACTTCTATTGATCGTCCGAGCACAGTAAAAGGTACTGAAGATATGGAAATTTTTTAAACATCGTGGCTAAAGCTTTTTGCATTTGCTATAAGTGAAGTACTTACTTGTTGAATAGAGAGTTGTTCTTGATCTCAAGAAGTGAGTATCAGATCAAGAGGTTTTAATATAGGACTTGAACATAATTTTTTCGTTACTGGAGGCAACACTTAGCCTCTTGGTCAATAGGTGTTGATGAAGATTCAAATGAATTTTCCGGTATAACTGTCATATTGATTTTGGGAATAGCTTTGTAATATTTATTCTTGTATAAATCATTTTTGTCTTTTGTATATTTAGTTCTTATTTTTGAGACGAAACCCTTTTCTATCCTACTCATTGGAATTCACCAAAAACTCATACGATCTTCTTTTTTTGACATAAGAAATTCTTTATCTTCTTGTGATATGCTAGTCATGTCCATCATATCTTACCAGGAAATGTCAAATAACATTTTACCGCGAAATGCCGAAATCGCCTTCTACATATCTGCCATTTCACATTTGCTTTATAAGTGTTTCTTGGTTTCTCTTTACCCAGATTTTGGTATTCTGTGTACAGCTTCTGCATATCAGCGTGGATATTCTTCTCCATCTTAACAGGAACATTTGCTTTCCTCTACATGTCCTGTAATTTAGTACTGGTATATTTAGCAGCATTTGAAAGTGTTTCTTTCATTTTCTTGTAATGGTAAATAAAAACCAAAAAGTATTTATTCCTTTGAAGAGATCTGAGTTCCTAAAAACTCACCACCAGGTGCCTTTAGTAACAACCAAATTCCTCTTTTGGTTTCCATTTTAAAGTTCAGTTATGTGCAAAAGATGAAAAAAATATATGAGAAGTTCATTAGTATAAATAAACTTCAGTATTAGAAATTTCTCTAGTCTGAAGTAAAAGTGATCAATTTGTGCAACCCCTAAATAATATCTAGTCTTCTTGAAATTTGGCATGTATATCTTTTACATCACAGAGACTGGGGCATAAGCAAAATTGTGCAAAAATCACGTCTTTGGAAAAATGAAACACCCTAATGTACATGGGTGGTGGTTATAAATGTGCTTTGTAGATAGAAGTTCCTTATACCTATGTACCAAAAGCACAACTGAATTGAAATATGTTATATGTAAAAATAAATCATTAATTGCTCTTTTTCAGTTATGGAAACATTTGAAAGTAGTTTAGAAGAGTAAAACATGTAATTTATTTTTAATATTTCTGCTGAAGTAGTCATGTGTAAGGGTATAATCTTTCCAACTGATAATTTTTATGTTTTCTAATGTATGTATAGTTCAGATTATTGTTTGAGATAATATACGAACTGTTATTATTCTTGTCCTTACATATTTTCTTCCATACGTTTTGAATCTCAAACTATAAATTTCAACTTTAATGTAATGCCAGACTAGAGTAATTAAAGACATGTATAGAGTTATTCAAATTCAAAATATTCTCTTCCTTGCTTTAAGTTTTACTGAATTGTTGGTATTTAATTTTAGTTAGAAGATCAACTTCGCTATGAAAAGAAGATAGCTGAAAGTACTGTATTAGAACATGAAATAGAATTAGATTGCTTAAGAAATGATATGACTCATGCAGTCCAAGAAAGAGATGAGGAAATATTAGAATTGAAAGAGGTAAAGCAACTGTGTTATAAAATAGAACACGAAAGTTTCATTATTTCATTTTTTTTAAATAAGAGCTTGATGTGCTTATTGTAAAAAAACAATATCTAGCAGTAGGTAATATTAGTGGTAGTTAGTGAGTATTAATGAAAGTTAACTTGTTTGAGAAAGTATGTTAATGCATACATGCACACAAAACATTTCAATTTTAAGCTGAGAAGTTATATAATGTTTGAGTACCTAAAAATAGAAAACTGTAATGCTTTTTCTTCTGATCCTTTGATGCACGTGATATTATTTCTGTAATTTTTTTAACTAAAAACTCTAGAGATTGAATATTATGATCTTAGAGACAAAGAATATATGAATAAAAAAATCTACTCTTGCCCATTGTTCTGTGGGTGGTGGTCGCACTGTGAAACCACAGTGTGTCTAGAGAATACTGAGGTAGTAGAAAAAAAAACTTACCTTTCTCTGTGCATGTTTCCAATAAATGATGAAATCTACAAGTTTTGAAAAAATGTATGTAAGAATTGCATTATATATAATTTTTTTACATTATTTTACAAAGTAAATCGTCAGAAAAAAAATTTAAAAATAAAAATTTGTGTAATTTTTCTGTAGCAGTGAAAATATAAGTACTTACATAATAAGGACGTTTGGCTAAATGGAAAAAAAAAACTCGGTAAAATAAGGATAAAAAAAGACTGAGCGGTTTTTCTTTTTTTTCTTTTTTTTTTTTTTTTAAATTTCAAAGAACAAATGTTTTTTGGGATACTGTTCAAAGCATGTTTTGTCTTTTTGGTACATGCATAGACCACATTGCACGTTTCGCACATATATCTTCTATGAGGGGTTTCACTGGTATATGTCCAGCATTATTTAGTTTCTTTTCATCTGGCACATGAAATTTGTGGTTTTTTATGTTAATTGGGGGGGGGCTTGTTCTTTTTGGCTTTGGTACAGATCATTCGTTTCCCATTCATACTTATTTTATTCGTATTTCGTCCCAAAATATTCAGAAAAAATTTTTAATTTAAATAAAACTTTACGCGATTTCTATTTCTAATTATAGCAAAGCATATTTATATTAAATTTAAGCCACAGGAAATAATTTATATAATTACAATACTAGCTTGGGGAGCAAGTGTGTTGAGGTCAGAGAAAGGTCTCTGTAAAAGAAAGATCTTTTTACTGGGCAGAGGCATGTATTTAGTAATAAAATAACTCTGTGGTTTTTAAAACCCTTTATCTATATCCGGGTAAAAATAAACATTTCTATTTGAGAAGCAAGCAAACGCCATTGAGAAGCAAACACCAGTGGTTTCAAGGCGCGACCACCAAGCCTCTAAAGCATTGTGACACAATGCTCTAGTGGTGCAGTGGCCGCGCCCTGAAACCACAAAGCAAATGCCATACATATAGAGGTTTTATATATATATATATATATATGCAGTTTAATTATTGCTATTTTTTATTGTTTATTATAGAAATCATGATGTGCAATGAATAACTTCTGAAATTTAAATTTTTTTATATTAATGAAAGGAAGTTATTTTGTCTCATTGAAAACGAATTTTAAAAGGCATCCGATTTGAAGTACTAAGACCTAAAACATGTATGATTCTGCAGTCATTTTGTAAAAAGAGGTAAAGAGGTAAAAGATCAGTAATCAATCGATTTTCACTCAAAAATTTCATAAAGAAGAGGAGAAAAAAATTCGAAAAATGGTGGTTTCAGGGCGCGACCACCGCGCGTCTAAGTGTTAATAGAAGAAATATTGCGATTTTGAATATTTATTTTTTTGAAAGTGTGTCATTAAAATACAAAAGCTGTTCAATAAAGAATGTGGTTAAAAAAGTAAAAAATTTGGATGGATGGTAACGATACAGTTACAGCATGAATGAAGCAATGGATGTAAACCTGTATCTCATTGTGCTTTCGGCCGAGTATGATGGTATGCGCAGAAAGCAAAGTACGGTTATAAAGTTCTCAGTTGAGTAACCAGAAAGCTTGTGGTAAGAACATATTGCTTTATTCTGCAGCATGGTAAATAATTTAGTAAGGGAGAGGTATGGTATATCATTATAATACAAATTTTCAAGATTCAGACTCTCAGGATTTGCCATCCATTAGTTGATTTGTTATCGCAGTGGAAAAATTCTGTTGTAGCATCATCATTTATTATAATTTCTCCGCATTTCTTAACAGTTTCCAATAATTTGGAAAACTTTGCTTTTTGTTTTTGATTTCTGGAAACCATCAAATTCACAGCTATCAACCACTATCCACTATTGGTGATGTATCATGAGATTGGCAACTAGAGACATATTCCACTAAATTTTGCCTTATTTCTATTCCTTTCTAAGAAAGTTGAGTCTGAATTATTTTAATTTAGTTATTTATGGTATTTATGTCAATTTCCTATGTATGCTTAAGGCTTATCTACATTTTTAATTTCCACATATACATACAGCTTATCTAAACAACAAATTAGTTATTCTTTATTCAAATAGCATTAAATGCAATCTTATCATCTATGATTATCATTTTCAAAGTTTAATTTTTCATATAAAAATAAATTTTTGTTAGTATAAGTGTATTGTCCACAATTACAGGTTGAACCTGTAATCTTTGCCGATGTCAACATATGTATGATGTAATAAAAGCATGGAAAAGACGGAGCATTGTTGATGCGTAATACCCAGATAAGATAGATAGTTGATCCACATTGAAGAGGAAGTATTCTGGTTGCATCGTAAGCTAATGTGTTGACTTCGTAAATAAAACTTGGCAGTTGAGATGATTTTAATTCCATTTTTATTTCCAATTGGCATTATGTGACCACAGATCACTTGGCACCTTTGATATTATTGCAATAGCAAGCAGCATAGCAAAATTACATCCAAGCAAAGCAGATACAAAAGCTGAAGTGCGTAGTTATGAAAGATGGAAGCACACGAAGAGAAAAAGTTTTGGTTTACGATGGTCATTTCAGTTCTCAATTCTTACGTTATCAGAGCTGCGCAGGCCATAGAATGATCTAGAAATGATGGAAACTAGATAAGTTACTGTGATTTTTAAAACAGAGAGGGAGAATTAAAGTTTTTAATGTTAGTTTAAATTATAATTTTGATTTACATATTTTATTATCTTACATGTATATATATATATGTGGTAGGGGAGTTGAGGTTGCTAGTCTAGGGTCCATTAACAAGTCTAACATTTTCTACACCACAGAACATTTAATGGAAATAACAGAAGGTACATTAAATAGAGTCACGATGCTGTTGAATACAAACAGGATTCTGGATAGCTTATTTTATAACATAGCAGCTTAGTGCATACTCGTACTTGCTGTCCTATATGCTGTCAAGTTACCACCTCTTCATGGAAACATACAGTTCATTATTCACCACCACCTCGTGGAGACCTAGGTCTTACCACCTTCGCGTGGGATAGAAGACTGTCTGTCTATATTCCATACTCCTCTTCACCTCACTCTCGCTGCTGGCGCATAGGTGAGGCCCTCCTGTGGCTGTGTTGCACTTACGGATACCACAGCTTGTTCGTCCTGACACTGTTTTCGGCCTCGAAAACATGGATCAGTGACACTGGTTCATCAAGACAGCACCTGAAAATAAATTAAAAAGAAAAGGGAAAAAACAAAAGAAAGAAGTGCAGAAGAACCACACACACTCCTAGACAGGAACAGTCCAATCCTTCATGTTGCAGTGGTACATCCAGGACTTTCATGGTGTCCCACTTTTTCCACCTGGTATTGATCTTTACCTTTCCTCGCCGTTACACGGTATGGACCGAAGAACTTTGGCCTTAACTTCAGACCACCTCCATACTGCGTTCTTTGTATGGCAACTAGGTCATTCACATTGTATACCTGTGCCTCTTTTCTCTTCGTTTCGCTGTTACACGGTATGGACCGAAGAACTTAGGCCTTAACTTCAGACCACCTCCATACTGCGTTCTTTATATGGCAACTAGGTCATTCACATTGTATATCTGTGCCTCTTTTCTCTTCGTGTTATATGTTTTTGTATTCTCTTCCTGAATGTTTAGAATGTTTTTCCTTGCTTCCTCTCTCATATCTTCTCGATCTTTTATCATAATATTTCTTTCTTCTTCTTCGAGAATTTCTATAATCTTTAAGTCCTCTCGATTTCTCATTTTAACACCAGTGAGGAACTCAAATGGAGAACTCTGTGCTTCTGCTCTTAGTGCTGTTCAAGATCCATTGTACATCTCCAACATATTTGTACCACTTGGTTGGATCATCTATGGATAATTTAGATAGGACTGGAATCAGAGTGAGATGAATTCTTTCCACTTGTCCATTCCCTCTAGGAATGTTTGTAGTTGTAAATATGTGCTGGATCTTCTCTTGACTACAGTAATCTTCAAAGCCTTTAGAGGTAAATGCCGTACCTTTTTCGCTTATAATTCTCAAAGGATTACCGAAAGTTGATTGTTGCAGTTTCAGTTTCTGCAATGCCTCTTGAGTTGATGTAGACTTTACTGGATAGAAGAGCCACACGAACTGTGTGAATGCATCAACCACGGTTAAGATATGATTGTAGTTCTTATTTGTCAAAGGTAATGGCCATATAAAATTGATATGAAAAGTGCTCAATGGGATACTATCTTTTGGTATGGGATTCAGCAACTCTTCGTCCTTAACTAATTTTCTGTTGCACAAAATACATTCTACACAATTTGAAATAACTTGTTCAATTCGTTTTCTAAGGTTAGGAATATAAAAGTTGATTTTCAGCAGATCTTCCGTTTTGGACACTGCGAAGTGTCCCTTGTTGTGGATACTATGTATGATTTCTAGCTCTAATGCTTCGGGTACCATAAGTAGTTCGCGACCACTGTCGAACTTGTATAATATACCATTCTTCACTAGGAAATCTTTCTTTAGTCCTTGCTCGACTAAGGATTTTAGCAACTGGAGATGCTCATCACTTCTTTGCACAGCTGCAGTTTTGGCTGTAACTTCTCCCTGAGAACAAGTAACCATCATGACAGCGTTTCTGCTTAACGAATCCACATGCTTCATTTGCTGTCCAGATCTGTGAACAAATTCTTCTACAAGTAATGTCCATCTCGCCACTTTAGGAGTTAGATCTTTTTTTAACATAGTCTTCTGGAAAGCATCGCAATCCGTAATTATTCTGACCTTAGATCCTAAAAGGTAATTTCTGAATTTCTTAGAGCTTCTACTATAGCTAAAACTTCAAGCTCATAACTAGATAGCTTCTCTTGTTGGAGACTAGTTTTTTTACTCATGAAGTAAATGGGGTGTAACTGCTCATCTTCTGACTTTTTATCTGACATCCATTTTTGAAATTTAACGTCGGAAAAAAACCTTTGCTTCACCCAAACGATCTAAAACCACTTCTGCTTGTGCCATGGGAAAAGAATCCTTAACCTATTTTTTTTATTTAGTTAGTTTTTAGGGAGGGGAGGGAACTAGGAGGGGGGAATAATTAATGAAAACATTTTCATTAATTATTCTGATATTTTGATTTTGTGTTGTGTGTAAGACATAGAGGAGATATCACTATAAATTTTCTAGTTGATTGTACTGTGTTATCTGTCATTTTATTCTTTATGAACAGCTATATTTTATTAGGAGATAAAGAGAGAAAATTGGAGTGGTTATAAATTGAAGTAAGGGAGGGAGAGATAAATTAAAAAAAAAAAAAAAAAAAAAAAAAAAAAAAAAAAAATTATTTGCACCTTGTGTTGATAGTCATAAATTTATATCAAGGAAAAACTTTCCTGTTTTTATTTAATAAAAAATTTTCCCTTATTAATTATTCCCCCCTATTTATAGAAACATATGGAAATTGAAAATGAAAAGGATCTCTTACAAAAGAAAACAGAATGTCTTGAAGCAGAACTACAAAAAAAGCTACAAGAAGGCCTCATTATGTCATCTACTCTAGCTCAGAAAGAGGCTGAATTGTTACAGATGATAAAAGAACAAGCTGTATTGCAAGAGGAAATTAAAAGGTGTTTATTATAAAGTTTTTTTTTTTTTTTTTTTTTTTTTTTTTAAATCATAGCTTGAAAATTGTTTAGTTTTTAAAGTACTGTTTCAGTTTCGTTACCTGTGTTAATTTTGATTAGAGGCTGCAAGTCAGTGGCAAATTCAGTACAAAATGTCTTTGATGAAGCATTATTTAGGACAGATTCAAAAGTTGCTATTTGGGGAATAGAATCAAAAATGTTGAATTTTTGGGAAATAGAATTCTACTAAAAATAATTTCTGTGTTCATTAAACTTGCTATATGTTGTTCATCACGATGGAAATAAATCAGGCACAGATTAGAACAGTAATAATTCAAGGTTGAAATGAGAAGATTAAATTGACCTAAGCAGAATTTTTACATGATTTATTACCATTTTTATTCACGAAATACTCAAAGTTTAATGACTGCAAAAGTATTTTGTATACTGTATAAAAACAGTCTTAAACCATGTATCATCATGTTGTTAATCTCTTATAAAATACTTTTATATATATTGACTGTAGATTTGTAAGAAGTTACATTAAGTATAAGAAGTAAATGAAGAGGCTTTAATTTATGTAATAAAAATTTGTATAAATTGTTTTAGGCTGCAAGAGTCTAAAACTGCTGCTGAATCTTTGGCTAAAGTTGAAAAAGAATTAGAATTAAGTGCTACAGAGAAAAAACAGTGTATGGAGGTAGGAATGTGATTACTTTTTACATGACATTTACAGTCTTTTATGTACAGCATATTGAATTTCTCTTTGTCCGTAATTTGTTTTGCTCTGATGATGTCATTTTCACTTAATTAATTTGTTTCATACTTTTTTTTTTATTTTAATATAATGTGAAGATACCTTGGAATTTACAAGAATTTCTAAGAAGGAATAACTATAAAAATAAATTTTGAAATATAATTTGATGTATTGTAAGTTAGCTGAAAATGTGAGAAACTTGGGATATTTTTCTTGTGAAATTCTAATAGATAATAACCATAATTGCAAGATACCATAATTGTTTGGTCTGGTTTTGATTTGCATAGAACTGTATTTGCTATAAATTATTAAAAAAAATGATATTTTAAATGTATATTTCATAGAAAAATACTGTAAATTATAATCAGATACACCTATAATTATTACCAGTGTTTAAATGAAACATTATGGTTATACCTAATATTTTTTTTAGCCAAAAGTGCAGTTGAGACTGTTATAGTTGCTGTAAAATTTTATGCATTTTTTACGTTTTTATGAAAGTGAGCCAGAGATTGTTTCCTCAGAATTTTAAATCTAAAATGCCTTAAATAATTGTATAAATTTTATGCTGTAAAAATGAAATATATATTAGGAATCCACAGTCCTTTATCTTGGATGATAGCTGTCAATGTGAATCCATTCTAGACAGCTATATTAAATGCATGCTTTATGATTTATTAAGCTGTTCTGTATTTTTGTGTGGATGTTTTATATGAAATTAATTTGTTCTGTTGAGTTGTCAAAAATGGCTTATCTGTCTTTTTTTAGAAACTGAAGGAAACAAGTCAGAAATTATCAGATTTGCAATCTGAATTTGAGAAAAGCAAAGAAGAATTAAATAAATTGGAAAAACTAAATTCTCAGCACACTAATGCTATGGAGTCTTTGCGTTCTCGCTATCGATTGGCAGTTAGTGCTACTTCTTTAGAAAGATTACCATCTGTACGTAGTTTAGAAAGCATAGATTCTGAGGTAAGTAGTTCTGAAAACTGTGCAATACTGCTAATTAAAATTGTTAAAGGAAGAAATTTTTTAGAATGCTTAAATTCTAAAAAATTAGGTTAAATTAGAAATTATTACTTTGCTTAAAATTATGCATGTAAAAATCTAAATTAATTTCTTAGATGTTTAGTTTTAGTTTCCTTTGAAGCATTATAATTCAACTTTTTTCCAATGTGTATAACACCAGGCATAATTCTTTGTTATTTAGCATATCTTGTACACTACCTGACATTGAAAATGCAACACCAAGAAGGAATGGCCCGAAAATTATGCGAATTTCAGGATAGACGCACATCACTGAGTTATACGAATGATATGAAATGTGCAGCTCTCCAGCGCACACTGAAGAAGGTATAAGGGAAGGAACCTGGAGAATGTTCAATTTCTTTGCCTTATTTCTGCTATTGAAGTTATCGTAGAAAATTTGTTTTTGTCTCAGAGGATGCATGTAATAGCAGAGAAGGCCAGGCTGTCGTCAACAGAGGTAGTTCCAGCAGATTTTACGAGGGGCATGGTGATCAGACTGATAAGGGCAGGTTGGTCGATGCAGCAAAATCTCAGCTGACACACTCCTAGAACAGTGCATTGGCTATAGAGACAATGGTTGGAACAAGGAAATGTGGAAAGTTCGAGGAGTGTTGGTGCAGCCAGAGTAACATGGATCCGCCGACAAGCTATGGCACACCCGCAAGCCACTTTACCTCCATTCTGCAGTATATTCAAGACACCCTGGATGTTCCCATATTGACCAGAACCATTTGCCGTTGATTTGTGGCTAGTGGCCTGCACTTGTAGCATCCATTAAGAAGACTGCCATTGAGCCCGCATCATAGATGCCAGCATCCACAATGGTGCCAGGCTCAAGCTGTGTGGGTGATGGAATGGCACAGGTTCATGTTCCCAGATGAATCACGCTTCTGTTTCTCCATTGATAGTTGGCGCATAAGAGTGTGGAATTGATGTGGAGACAGGTCCAATCCGACAGCAATTGTGGAACACGCCAACGCACAACAGCGTAGGATACCATGGTTTAGGGCACAATTGTGTATGATTTCAGGTCACCTCTAATTTGTATTAAGGGCACTTTGATGGCCCAACGATATGTGGATGATGTGCTGTAGCCGGTGATGCTCCTCTACCTTCAGGGAGTGCCCACTGCCTTTTATCAGGAGGATAACGCCCGACCACACGCTGCTCACATCAGGCAACATGCTCTGCTAAGTGTACAGATGCTTCTTTGGCCACCGTTCGTTCCAGATTTCTCATTAATCAAACACTTTTGGGATGTGATTGTATGCAATTGTCGGATTCAGAAGACGAACTGCGGCAAGTAGTCGACAGGGAATGGAGAGCCATTTCTCAGGACACCATCAGCAGTCTCATTGAGTCTGTATCTAGACATGTTGCTTTATGTATCATCGTCCATTGTGGTCCTACAACATACTGAGTGGGCACTGTCTTCACACATCTTCACTTAGTTTCATTGCTTTCTGGCCGCTCCTCCTTGGTGTTGCATTTTCAGTGTCAGGTAGTGTATATTTATCTCCAACCTACGTGCATTTCATCTTCTAGTGGATATATTTCTCTTAGCATTTATGAAAATTGTCCTTTTGTTACTATCCAGGTATTCCTGTCAGAGTTGGATTACTTCCAAGGCATTGGTAAAAGTAGGCTAAGCAGTATCCATGAAGTTGCTAAAAGCTCTCAACCTCAAACTTACAAAATAAAATTTTGAGGGGGGGAAAAAAAAAAAAAAAAAAAAAAAAAAAAAATGCATACAGTGAATTAATTATCACATTCATTTATATTTTACTTTCCTTCCTACAAATATTAATAATCCAGAGTGGGCTATTAGAACTGAATCCTTATCGACTTATATCTCTGTAACAATTTGCTCTATAGTTTAACTTACATGAAAATAAATGTTAATTCTTCTATGAAATACAAAGTAACTACAAGAAGAACTGAACCTTCCAAATAGTAAGAAATAGCAGAGAACTGGATGCTAACAAAAAAAATAATGATCGCTTTTGTGATAAGTTTCTAAACTAGAAACTATTTCTTAAATCTTGCTGATGCAGTGCGCTAAACCTGTTTTTTGATAAAAAAAGAAAACATATAATTTTTTAGTTACCTCATAGCTTTGTAATGTAGCTAAGATTCTTTTAAATATTTATTTTAATATGCTATTTTAGTAGAGAAAGATTCAGTTTCAAAACCTATCCAGATTCACAAACATGAAAATGTAGCAAGTATGTAAATTTATATATATATTAAAAAGCTAGGTAGTAATTACTATATAAAAATAATACTATATAAAAAATATATATATATATATTACGCTTAAAAAGATTATTACAGATATACAAGTAAGAATAAACACATGAAAATATTTAAATTATTTACTGATATAGTATTGCTACATGTGAATTAAAATAGGTCTGAAATAAATACATAAATTAAGTAGAAAAAAACCTGTTTCTTCTTTGTTTTTCTGTGTTCCTTCCCAGCATGAAAGAAATATGCTAACTTTTTGCCTGTATTGCTTTGATGTTGCCATTTTCGCCTAATTAATTTTTTCATACTTAGAAGTTGTCAGGGGGAACAAGGAATAAATCATCTGGAGTTACATAAAAATAAGGTAAAATAAGGTACATAAAAATAAGGTACTAAAGTAAAATAAAGAATCAATTTTTATTTTGTCTTAAAGACATAGATTAATCTCTGAGAAATGGATTGACTGTGATAGCAATTATAAAATGCTTTTCAAGGCCAAAAGAATAAGGTGTGACTAAAGTAAAATAAAGAATCAATTTTGATTTTGTCTTAAAAACATGGATTAATCTCTGAGAAGTGGATTGACTGTGATAGCAATTATAAAATGCTTTTCAAGGCCAAAAGAGGAATTAACTGTGCCTGTAAATTATTTTATGAAATCACATGAACTTTTAAGTTAAATATATACTCTGCCCCCCCCCTAAAAAAAAGTCCGAAAGAAATCAAGCCGCAATCACGAAACTTGGCAAGAATATAGTCTGGTAAGAGAAAGGCAAATGATTTAAATTTCGACGGCAATGAGACAAGGGTATGCACATATGAGGTGGGTAGCTGGGAGAGTTTCAAAGCTTGATTGCTTGACCATAGGGCAATTCAAATGAATCTGTCAAATTGGATGGACAGTGACCTCTGATACGTAACTGCTGGCAGTATGAACAGTTGTCAGTCTTTGAGGAGGAGCATATAGTAGGCATCAGAGAAGCAGGTTGGTCGAGCAGGTGTATCGGCCACTACCTCGGTTGGAGCAATATGGTAATTGCTTGATCTTGGCGGCAATGGATAACAGAAGGGATAGCCTAATGTTGCGGAGGGTCAGGTGATCCCAGGAACACAAATGAGTGTTATGATCGTGCAATCATAAGAGCGGCCTCTTCCGCCCCCAACAATGTTGCTAGCATTGACTCAACACCATTTACCACTTCTAGGCATCCAGTGGTATTAAAGGAAACCATATAGAGACCATTGGCTGACGCTGGGATATGCTGCTGACGTTCATCAATTTACCACTGACCCCATATCATAGGAAGTGTTAGTTGGATTTTTGCCAAACTCGGGCAGGCTGGAGTGTGACTGATTGGAGGCATGTGATCTTCAGTGATGAAACTCAATTCAGCCTCAGGAAACTAAACGGAGACGACTGGCCAATGCTGGTATATGTTGCCAATGTTCATTGACTTACCACTGATGCCACATCATAGGTAGTGTCAATTGGAATTTTGCCAAACCTGGGCAAGTTGGAGTGTGACTGGAGGCATGTGATCTCCAGTGATGAATCCCAATTCAGTCTCAGTGCTGATGACTAATGCACCCGAGTCTACAGGCAGCCAGACCAGCGGTCCAATCCGTCATTTGTTGTCAAGCAGCATATTTTGATTTTACAAGGTGTGACAGTGTGGGAAGCGATTTATTGGGACACACGATCACCTCTAATCATTCTTCAAGGTTCTATTATGGCTCGTAGTTACGTGGATGACATTTTAACGCTGGTTGTAGTGCTTATGGTATCAAGTAGCCCAGTTACCATTTATCAGCGAGACAATGTTGGTCCACATACTGCATGACTCTACCAAAAGTGTCATCAAGAATATGACATGCTCCTGTAGCTTGGCAGGTCACCAGGCCTCTCACCAATAGAGCATGTATGGGACATGCTTGGAGGGCAACTGTAGCCGTCCTGGAATATTGGTGAATTAACTGCACAGGTTACAAAGATTATAGCATGATGTTCTGCAGGGGGTCATAGGTGACCTACTTGTTTCGATGCCATACTGTGTTTTGGCTTGTATAGCTGCCAGAGCTACCTATACTACTTACTGATTTGTAACTTTTCATGTCATAAATTCTTAAATTTATCTTCTCATTACACTACATATGTGTTAAGTTTTGTGATAGTAGTTCGTGTAATTCTGGGTGCATATATTTTTTTTGTGACAGAGTATATAATTTTTATCAGTCATGTTTGTATTTTCTTTATAGGAAAATATAAATTTATTGGGTCTATTGCAATTAAAATGACTGCTTATGTATTTGTTCTAAATAATGCAATCATGTCTGATTAGCTGAAGTGTTTATTAGAGAATAAGATTCAAAATTTGATAACTTAGTGAATTCTGATGTAAAGACTTTGAGATCATCAGAGAAATATTAACTACATTTTTTTAAATTTTCTGATACCTGTACCTATGTACTTTTAGGAGATTATTTCCTACTATATATAGTTTTGATCATATCTAAATACCTGTTGGAATGTAATATTTTAATTTTTTATAATTGGTTAGTTTATGCATCATATAATTTTTCATGTATCTACTAAAGTTTTAGTAGTAAACTTATTACTGTAAAAAGAGTAAGCAGTATAAAAAACAGTGTACTTTCTTTAAATTTATTATATTTCATTGCTTATTAATTTTATTAAAGTTTATATGATTAGGATAATTTAATAGCATTTTAAATGCCATTTATTTGTGCTGTGGCTACAGAAATTTCTTACCTACTCTTGTACATATCTGCATCAAATATAATAAAACTTTACAGCAGATTTTGGAATGTAGCTATCTGTATTTTTCCTTTTATTTATTTGTTTAAAGCAATAAAGACCTGCTTTTATTAGATGTGAAAAGTAAGTACTGTTTTTATGTAAGAGCTTTCCTAGTACACATATCACATCTATATGTAAATAATTACAGTCAAAAGTCGTTAATCCGGACTCGTCGGGACATCGGCAATTCCGGATTATCGATTTTTCCGGGTTATAGATCATCAGTTTAAATCTCGTAAGATGGCATGCAGAAACTCTAAAATTAAAAATATGAAACCGTAATTTATGAAATAAAGAACAATTATGATCTAAAGAGTATCAAAATTTACAAAAAAAAAAAAAAAAAAAAAAAAAAAAAAAAAAAAAAAGAGCTTAATATTTATTTGTTTACTTTATTAAACATTTCTTTCAATGTAAGTTGCTTCGTTTTATGTGATAATACTTTCTCTTTAATTCTATAAACAGACACACTTTCTTGTTCAGTTACGAAGTTCCGCTGTTCAAGCCCCGTAATTGCTGTGCCGAGAATACCGACTAACTTGTCAATCGAAATTGTTTCATTTTCACTAACCTCTCTGTCACCTTCTTCATGTCTTTATCCATTTTTTGCAGCAATTCCACTTTTTGTTTGATGGACATCGAAACATACTTTCATTTTGTAGATCCTTTGGGAACTCCAGCATCGGAAATTCTATTTGACATAATCGAAAGTTCAAGTTTACTTTTATAAAATTGCTCTTACAGTCTGCAAAAAATAATAAGCCGCATCCAATTCGAAGATTAAGGAACAACGCAATCATCAACATTAACTGAAATAGATAATTAGGTAATTTTAGCTTATACCGTCCATTATACATTAAACACGCACGCGAAAACATATTCTGCACTTGCGCACACGCATATGCGCAGTCGTAAAGGTCTTACGCGCACGCGTAAACGCCTATGTGCATGTGTCAAAGCGCCGCATGCGCAGAAAGTTTTTAGCTTTGAGGTCCGTATTATAGATCACTCTGGATTATGGGTGTCCGAATTAACGACGTTTGACTGTATTTCTTTTTTATTCTGTAAGGATATTAGTCTGATATTTTTAGGTGTTAATATGGAATTCGAAAACAGTTTCCTGTTTTTAATATTCATATTTTAAAGTTTTATTATATTATGAAAAATTTGTGCTTTCCATAGCTGAAAAATCTGTCCTAAAATTTATTGCAAGTGCAGTTCAGGAAACTATATAAAATAAAGTTTTTTTTTTTTTCTTTTTCATTTTAATAGGGAAATTTTTTTGGAAGAATTATTTATTCAAAAAAATATGTTCTGTTTTCTTCTCCCCTTTTTTATTAGTAGTAAGCTTATGAATGTAAAAAGAGTAATCAGTATAAAAAACATTGTACTTTCTCTAAATTTATTATGTTGTATTTCAGTAGTTACTAATTTTATTAAAAGTTATACCATTATCATAATTTAATAACAACATTTTTAAATGGTATTTATTTGAGCTGTGGCTACGGAAATTTGCTTTTATTATTTTCAAACTAAACTCTCTTAAAATTTGCAGGCTTTAATAGGGCCCAAAGAACAGAAGAAAATAATATCAGAAAAACATAGTCAGTGGGAAATAGAAAAGAATGAAAACTTGAAAGTTATTTTGGAAGAGGAAAAGAGAAAGTTACAAGAAGCTGTGGAAGAAGAGCGACAAAAACAAGAAAGGATTAGACAAGAAATGATTGAAAATATGCGAAAGGACCATGAAAGCAAGATTGAGAAAATGAAAGCTAGATTTACTGCTGAAAAGCAGGTAAGTTTTATGCACCCTTTTCTTTCAAAGAAAACAATAAATAGGAATAATGTAAAATCCCAACTATCCAGCATTGAACTAACCAGAAAGTTCAAATAACTGGAATATTTAAAAGTTAAAAAGAAAGTGTTCTCTGGAAGGGGGGGGGGAATAAGTTAACGGAAGATTTGTAACACCATTATAGAGCTTGTTATGCTATAAGCACATATACATTGTTGCTCTACAGTGCGAGTTAGTGCCAGTAATGGATGCACGAGATGTCACTTCACAGTCATAAAAACTTCACCTTTGTTTTATGCAAACTGAATTAATTCTAGATAAGCTGGCCTAATTTTTGTTAAGAAAAATGCAAATTTAGTTTTTTTCTTCAATAACAAATTTAGTTTTTTTTGAAAAAGTGATTAATGTTTATAAACCTGCCTTCTATGGGAGAGCATGTAGTGGTGTATTTTTTAAGTTATAAAGGATTCTGGAATTAAACAAAGACATGATGTGCAACTTTTTTTTGAAAATGAATTAACAATGATGTCTGAAAAGCAATTTCCCCCCCCCTAATCTTGAATGTAGGCTTTTGATATTCAAGTTGATATATATAAAAAAAAAAAAAAAAAAAAAAGGCTGTTTTTGTAGTTTTAAACGGAAAATTTCTTCCCTTCATTTCATATTTCTCACGTTAATTAATTTTTTATACAGTTATCCAAAATTGTTGATATTTGGCATCTGGCATTTCCAGTGGTACTTAAATACTGTATCTGTAAACTATGAAGGTGTGGCAATTAATTCAAAAATATATCCAAATATGCACAAAAGAAACTTAAGCCCAAAGGGCAATTTGCCCAGAAGAGATATTAATTTAATTTCAGCATTTTGCTTTGATTCACTATAAATAGCAAATCACTGTTTTAAATTGTTGCTGCCAAATATTAGAGCCCTGTATTATATTTAAAGAAATTAAATAATGAAGAACCTGCATAAATGTATGAATGTTTCTCGCATTGTGATAAAACAACGGTAGCTAGAGCCATCAAATTTTGAATAACGTACATCTCCAGCCAAATATGGGCATCTGGGAGCACAAATTTAGAATCTATTTCAGATTTTGTAAAGCATTTATGAGTTTTTGATTAAGAAACTCAACAATTTCAAAGCAGGCATTGGCAACACTGTGTGTGTGTGGGGGGGGATTTTGTGGCAGGATACTGTGTATTGGAAATTCTTAAGATTTGCTCTTTTAAATATTTTGTGATATTTCTGTTGAATTGAATGTTATGGTTTAACTGCAAAGAAGATCTGCATTGTATATATAATATCTACATTACAGATAAAATAATGCAGATTCTTCATTATTTAATAACTAAAGGTAACACACAAAATGTTTAAAAAAATGCTCTTTTGGACGTAATATAAAATCTGAAAACTTTCAGGTTTTTTTATTTAATTATTATTTTCTTTTTCTTGTATAATAATTATATGTTTAATTTTTTTTGAAAGCAGATTTAATTTATCGGCAAAGAAGCTTTGTGTTGAAATAATAAATCTGAATATATTTTGGAATTTATTTATCACTAATATAGGTTTCTTTCAATGAGGCCATAAATAAACTTGCCAAGGAAAAAGATGCGGTTATTGAAGATTTGCGTGTGGAAAATTCATCACTGCAGGAAAATGTCTCATCTATATGTAGTAAGTTATTTTAACCTGTTTTATTGAAGGGGTAGTTTTTGTTAATGTTAATATTTAAAAATAATTATTTACTGATTTTTTTTAATCATTTTTATAGAGCTTATGTTGATTAGAATGGACAACACATTTAAGTGAATGGTATATAATATTTGAATAATAATAATAATTATAATTTTTGAACTCTGCTGAGGTAATTTGGATAAGAGTCAACTACTGAGTAGCTTTCACTTCCTGCATTATTTTTTAATTGAAGTATTTGAACATTAAAAGTATTAGATCAGAAAGAAAATTAGTAAAATTTTCTTTGTTGAAAAAACTGATTTTGATTCAATAATTTAAATAAATATTTGTTATAATCTTTTACAGATAAGTCATTAGATGACTAGGAAATCTAATTAAAAGTTCAGATTTTATTACAGTGTAATTTTTTGATTAGATTTGATTTGTGATTAGCATGTTGATATGTAGTTTTAACTTATTTTGATGGTTAGTTACCTGTAAAAAATCATTTTTATCTTAGTTTTCGTTTCTTTCTTTTTTATTTATTAAAACATTAATTTTTTAGCCTTCTTCCTGTTGCACATAAAGATCAGAAGTTGCTGCTTATTAATGTGGCCTAAGATCTATCATTTTTTTTTCCAATTTATAAAATAGAATGCTCAACAATGTTACAAATTGATTAATTTAATTTTTTACTTTTAGTAGAATTGAAACTCAGTTCAAAAGGAAAATTCAATTTTTAAAGTTGTGATGTCTGTTTCTGTATTTCCTTTCTGAATATAAAGTGGAAACTATCAAGTATTAAATATCTTTTTATTCATTACAGTTAAAGATTGAAAATTATTGCTAGTTGATAAAGCCAAAGATTTTTCATTTGTTTTCTGTATTTAAAAAGTGTCTTCAGCATAATAAAAAAAATTAATTTGAGAAGTAATTTTATTTCAATAATTTCTTTTTTATATGTTTTGCAACCTTGTTTATTTTAGACTATTCTTTTAATAAATAAAATGTGTTTTTAATCATCATAAAATGTATTATAAAATTTCTGTGTATGCATCACCACCTCTATCAAAAATAAAATCTAAAGGTAATGTTGAAAATTTTTTAGCAACATGTATTTCAAAATTCTTTCAGTATAGCTCTTTTATTCAAATGGTAATGGAACTTAAATACTTTGGTGTTGTTATCTTTTTATCCTATTTTACATTCAGAAAGGAAAAACACTCATATAAATGAGTTTTTAAAACTTGAAATTATTTTTTAAATTGACTAAATAAACTTAAAGAGTAAAGGTTTAGTTTTTTAAATTAGTAACATACTGTTTGTATTAGCTTACTGGTAAATTCCTCTGAGATGTTAGAGGGTAAACTATTTGTTTGTTTGTTTTGTTTGTTTTTAATGATTAAAAAAATCATTGATCCAGATTCTTAGTATTTTCTTAGATATTCATTTTGATTATTATTGTTTGCTAGTTACTAAATATTTATAAAATAGGGATAACTGTATATTTAGGCTAAAAATAATGCAAATAAGTTTAAAAAAAAAAAAAAAACTATTGATAAGTAATGTTGTAACGACAGTCATATTACTTGTTTGGTCCATGGAATATGGATTAGAACAAGAAAATTTCTAGCATATGCAACTTTTTTTTTACCTATCTTGATTTCTGTAGCTTTTATAGTAAAGCTAGAATTTATAGAAATACAATATTAATTATTAACATGCAAATAACTTAAATGTTAACAGAAAATTCAGCTTGGAGGGGGAGACTTCGTAAAATCTGAATACTGTCAATTATTTTTCCCAAATAAAACAGTCTTTTGTACATCCTTGATATAAGCAGGGCTGATTTAAATAATTCCTCCCCCCTTGAAATAAATGATTCATAATGAGAGCTCATTTTTCTGAGGAATTTATTCTCATTGCATTTAGAATAAATAATTCCAAAACTACATTTATTGCTTATAAACACAGTGTGTCATTCTCATTCACATACTTATTTTAAATACCAAATTTGAGAATTCTGGGATTATCTCATAATGCATTTTTTTTACAAAAGTCTTGAAATAAAGTATCACTTCCATTTATCAATTTTAGCCAAAATTAAATATGCTATTCCCACAATTCTAGTATCCCACACTATACTAGAATTGAAAAGTTTTTGATTATATGTTAATATAGTTTTTCATTACAAACTGTAATGGGTTGCAAGTAAAGTAAAACTTTTGGTTGCCCATTAAAGACTGTGATAGGCTTGGGTAAAGTACCACTTCCAGGTGCCCAGTTTTACCCAAAATCTAAGCAACTGTTTATATGAATGAAGAAAATTTAAATATCGAAAATAAATTTTTTTTGAAAGTTTCACTTAGCAGTTAAAGAGGATGAAACAAAATCATTTATACATTCAGACAGACATTGGGGGCAGGGGAAGGTGGTTTAAAAAAAGTGGTTCTATGAAAAGTGGTTTAAAAAAAATGGTCCAATATCAGTGGTTTCATGTTCTCTTCACTGATGAATCTAGGTTTAGTTTAACATTTAATGCTAAATTTTTTACATCTAGGAGTCGGGAACACAAAATCTTCCTTTGAACTTATGAAACATCAATATTTCGCTAATGCAGGTGTGATGGTATGAGAATGAATAATGACTGATACACATATTGCCTATACATATTTTCAACAGACCTCTGACCAGCCAGTGATGAGATCTTGGAATCTTATGTAAGACATTTCAGTGGTGCATATGGATCTGAATATTTAATTGTTGAAAATAATGTTCATCCACATTGAGCAAACCTTGTTGATGAATAAATTCATTGAAAGTCACAGTGGCTAGCAAAATTTCCTGATCTTAATCCAACAGAGATCTTGCAAGATTACCTTGAAAATAAAATTTACGATTTCTTACTTTCATTTTTGCAGAATTAATCCTGGACGACATCTTTTTCTTTTTAATCTGAACTTTAATACCTAATAGCAAAAAAACTTGATAAAATCAATTGTGCAGAAGATTCAAATTAATATGCATTTCTTGTCTTATTCATTTAATTTTTATGTCAGTATAACATAACATCCGATGGCTGAGCTGTTCTGGAAATTCCTAGTTACAACTTAGGTTCATTTTCAGGAAAAGGAAAGAAAAAAATAGTTGAATACATCATTGTTTGTTCTCTGCATATGCAGCCAGATGAACTCTTTTCACAGATATCTTTTTGAAAGCTGACACAATTTTCAAAGCAGACTTAGTATCAATTTGCAATTGATTGGAAAATTTTGTCGTAAGATCTGAAAATAAAGAAATTTATTAAAATTTACTTATGATGAAGTATTCTTGGAAAAAAAATACTGCCTTATTTCCTTAAATAATAACTACAGATGCAATATGCATCCAATTAAAAGATTTATTAAAAAAAAGTATAATCCTTAAAAAACAATTTTTCATCATGAGTGAGTTGAGTAAGTAGTAAAATATAATTTTCATATAGCCCTCATTGAACCAGATTTCTAACTAAGGACAAATTCATTATGTTTTAGCTAGTTTAATAAAGTTCTTTAAGTGCAAAATTATAATATGTCTTAATCGTATAATTGATCATAGTACTGATTCTGAACACAAAATTCTTCACTTTCTAAATCATTTCTAGGAAAATAAAACATACATGGGAGATCAATTATTTCCCAAGACTGGAACACAAACCTGGTTATGCAGATATTTTCTCAGAACAGTAGAAATATTTTGTGCGTTTAATAGTCGATTCTTCAACAGGAATGAGATAGGACACCTAAGGGTGCCTTCAAAAAGAGTAAATGTAGCTATATCAAATGCAATAATAATATGGTATATGCTGTTGTCATTAATAAATTTTAAATTCTGTTTGCTGCATTGACAGCTCTGAGGGATGATTCTGGCTTTCAGCATGTATTTATATGTTTAGCAGGCCAGAAATCCCAATAGTTTTAATGTCTGTTTAGGATATAAGTGCTTTCTAAAGACAATAAAATATTAATGGATGATTAACCAGTGCTGCAAGTATAGTTAAGTGTTTTGCCACATACTTGTGAAATTGCTGTAGTCCATTTAAAATAAGCACTTCAAAATCGTAACGTGTTATCATTGATACACTGAGGGGATTAGGGAATTAGAGGACTGATCCGTCTTCCAAAATATTCATTACTATAATTACAAGGCAAGCCAGAAGGGGAAAATGTGACCTTGAAATGTTTATTCTAAAGTAACAGGCTGTAGTTTAAAGGAGGTAACAAAAACAAAATTCATTTCTCTGTCACATTTTAAAAGAATGTGACAAACTTATGCATTTAAACATTAATATAATTGGTTTTTAACTTTGGAATATCAAAATATTATGTCTGAAAATATTTAAAAGCTACAATAATTCAGTTTTTGCCACTAGTTCCATTGTTCAAATTAGTTATTATTTTTTTTGGGGGGGGATTATCACTTAAAATGATGGAAAGTTATTATTATTATTATTTTTAGAAGTATTCAATTTTATTTTTTATAGTTAGTATTTTTGAATTATTTAGTTTTTCTTTCTGTAATTAGTATTTTAGTTATTATTATTATTTGCTATAATTAGTGTTTTAGTTAATATTATTATTATTTAGTTCTACATTATTTAAATCTTTTCTATATTTGCTTTCAGAATATTTAGAAACGCCGTTAGGGTCTGTGTATAACTATGAAGCATTGACAGTTAGTGATTCTGCACTTTTAAGGTAAATATGCTTGATTTTTAATTAATCATAGAATTAGTATTAGTATTGCCTTCCAAATTTAGGAATTATATTTTGTTAATGCAACTCTAACATGCAATGTTACTGAACTAACATTAGGAGAAAAATTTATGATAGTTTTTATTTAATAGCTACCCAGTACAGCATATGAAACATATTTTACAGCAACTGGCACAAATCACAGCAATGCAGCATATTTCTCAAATTTCTCGTTTAATTTAAACACAGGAATACTTTGTGATGAATGTATAATTCTTCCAAAAATTTGACCTTTTTCAGGAACACTACCTCTTTTTTCAAATAGATTAGATGTTTATATCCTATATATGGTTTCTTTCATTTTTTTCACAATAAGTAATAAATAAGTTATATATATATATATTCTTGATTATGTATATTCCTATATATGGTTTCTTTTATTTGTTTCACAATAAGTAATAAATAAGATTTTTTATATATACAGTGGTGACCAAAATTGTGGACACTTTTGGAAATTTTTATGTTTTTGAACTTTGTATGCTTATAGAAAACGTTACGTTTTACAAAATGCAAACTTGTAAACTTACATTTTAAAGAGAATTTTATTACTGAATTCAATACAAAACACAAAATTCAATTATTTGCAATATAAAAAGAGTTAAACGATAATAGTTATCCGTATACATTAGATAGTGATGATTGCAGTGAGTTATCAGTACTTAGTAGGGTACCCTTTATTTTTGATTACAGCTTCACATCGATGTTTCATTGAGCTGACAAGAGTTTTAAGCTCTTCTTTCGTTATTACATGATGCCAGGAAACAAATTAGCCTCAATTAGTTCCCTTTTATTTGATGGGCACCTCATTCGAACAAAAGTTTTCAAACGGTGCCACAAATTTTCGATAGGATTGAGGTCAGGATTGTTTCCTGGCCATGACAACAATTTAATGCTCTTTGTATGAAACCACTCTTTCGATATTTTGGCCGTGTGGCAAGGAGCAGAATCCCGCTGAAAAATAAACGAAGCATTGTTGGGAAAGAGATCTCTGATGGAAGGTAGAAGTTTTGGTTCTAGAATAGTGTCAATGTATTTTCTGGCATTCAGTGTCCCATCGATGACATGAAGACGACCAATACCATCTGCTGACATGCATGACCAAATCATAACACTAACTTGGGTTCTTCACAGTTGCTTGAATGCAGTCAGGATGTTGCTCTTCTCCTATTCTACGTCTTGCATATTTTCGCCCATCACTACCGAATAACGATATCTTAGTTTCATCACTCGATATAACTTGTGACCACTGATCATCTGTCCAATTAATGTGTTCCTTTGCCCACTGTAGTCTTTTTTTTTTTTTTTTTTTTTTCATTGCTGAAAATTAAGATAAGGCTTTTTTCGTGGAATTCTACCTCTCAGTCCAACATTTGTTAATCTTCTTCTAATTGTTCTTGAATTGACAGAAACACCAGCATCATTCAGGTCACTTTTGATGGCCGCTAATAACATTTTTCTATCTTGGAGACATAGTCTTTTTATTCTTCTGTCATCAATAGATGTGGTGCACCTTTTTCGGCTTTTCCTTCTTTGGTTTTTATTGAATTTGTCTCATATCGTAAACAAAACTTTTTGACTCCAGATGTAGTCACTGAACCACCCACCTGTCTTGCAATTTCAGCATAGGAAAGACCACTTCCTCGTAACACAATAACATTACATCTCTTTCTAGGTGTCCAATCTACTCTTTTATTTGATGTCATTGCTTCTTGACTAAATATTAAAAATTTTTACAAAAATTCCTACTTGTAATCGCAGTGTATAAGAAACAGGTCCTCCTTCTACAGAACAAAGCAAAATAATGAATTGTTTCAAGTGTAAACATGATGTCAGCTTCTACTGGCAGTTACTAACGTTTGATTGGTTCTCAGAACACAAGAACAGTGATTGGCCAGGAAAGCTAGACATTACAAACCACTTCATAACTGTGTTTTTTATTTATATTAAAGTACATATAACTTTTTTGTATTGCAAATAATTGAATTTTGTGTTTGTATTGAATTCAGTAATAAATTCTCTTTAAAATGATATATACAAGTTTGCATTTTGCGAAATGTAACATTTTCTATAAGCATACAAAGTTCAAAAACATAAAAATTTCCAAAAGTGTCCACAATTTTGGCCACCACTGTATATCCTTGATTATGGCATAAACATATAGAATTATTCAGTTACTCATGTTTAATGTGATAATTGTGTCTTTATATTTGGTTCAGGAAATGATTCTGTTTGGTAATGGAAAATCAGGAAAATTAAAAGAAATTAAAAGCTGAATTTCGGTGGGAACCCTGATAAGAAATAAACTTATTTTCATTTATTTAATTTAATTTTCATTTATGTTAAATTTTTATATTTCAGGAAGTTTATTATTATTATTAAAGAAAAATATGAACAAACCATGTCACGGAAGTGTTATTTAGAAATTTAAAAAAGAATTTAAAGAAACATTTACATCAAATAAAATTTCTTATCTGATATTACAAATAGCAGAAATAGCAAAACATAATCTGTTGTTTTAAGAAGGATAAAACTTTCTTTATAAAAAGAAAATTAATGGGAAATAATTTTTTCCTGTCATTTTTACATTTAAAAATAAGTTCAATTTAATTAGTACTTCTTGGAAAGACTTTTGCCGTATAAACAACTATTTGATCGATTGTATTGACTATTTTAAACTGACCATAATTCTTAACATTCAGTTGTATACTAACTATATTTTTTAATTAATATGAATTTATTGTAATATATTGTTAGTTGTTTCCAAATAATTACGGATATTTATTCAAGATATGAACATTTGAAATTCTCAAAATCTTTTAATAAAATTATATCAGTGTTCATTATAAGATGACATAAATTACATTTTATTTTTTTTAGTTAGTTAGTTCATGATGTTTGTCACTGTTGTCAAAAGTTTGTCATTAGTTTTTAAACTACTTCCTGGTAAGCTGACGAGTTCAAAATTTGTACACTCGTTGTTTGTGGATGACAATATTAGGTGGTAAAGGTTTTTTTTTTTTTTTTTTTTTTTTTTCTTTCAAATTTCGATTTAAGTTTTTGAAAATTTAAAAAGATTTTTTCACAGATATCTTTGTTTAATGAACAGACTAAAAATATCTGAATTTTATTGTTTCCACCACTGGATAGGGCAGGCAAAAACATTTTAAATGAAATTTATATGAAATTTTTAACTTAATAATATCTGAATTTTGGGAAAATAGTGATGTTTCTCAACTAATTGACATCCATTATTTTAAAATTTCTGCATCTAAAAGTGTATCAAATGTTAAGTTAGGAAATTTTCGCAGATTAGTAAAAAAATTCTTTTCCTCTCTTTAAAAAAAAAAGAGTGATTAAAAAAAAATAACTTAGCGACTTTCTACATTTAAAAATAATTTGCTGTCTCAGGCAGAAAGGAGAAAAAATTGTTTTCTTTCAACCATATTTTGGAAACAAACTTTGCAGGTTATAATGGCGTTACATTACACGATTTGTACTGCTTCTGTACAGATTCTTTGCATTTTACTGTCTTCTCTTTTAATTCTGGAGAAGCTATGTGCACTGAAATCCAGGTCAAATGAAGCAACAGAATAAAATTACATTGTATCTGAAAACAGTCATTTCTGAAAAATCCCACCTGCAAGCCATTTACCATTGATTCATTCTGCAGAGGAAAATACTTGTTTTATAATGAAAATCTTAAAATGCAAAATACAGTCTTTTGCCTGAAAAGAATTTCTTTGAAGATAAGTAAATTGTCATCATGAAAACATAACAAATTTTGGAATTATCCATCTGTTTATACATGCCGTATAGTTGAAATAAATTTTTACCATTCTGTACGGAAATTTTCAATCGCTTTTTGCCATTATTGACAATATTCTGATACTGATTGTAGCTGAAACTGGAAATTTAATAATGAGTATTTATGGACTGTTCTTATTTTAACTGTTATTATTTTTATGTATACTCATGTTTTAATTGTTAATTTTCATCAAGCCTTTTTTTTTTTTTTCATCCATAGATTAATAATTTAGAAGGTGTAGTTACAATAAAAATAAAAATTTAACTTTTTCAATTATGCAAGTACTATTACTTCTTTATGTGATGTAAATGAAAAGAAAATTTTTAAAAAGAGAACTTTTATTTTATGCCAAATGGTACGTACAGAAATGTACTGTAAAAGTTTTACTTACTGCTGTGCAAAATCTCTTATGATCTTATCTGTAACTGAAATATGCTATTTCTGTTACATTAATAATTACATGTATTATTTCATATCTTAAATGCTGAAATACCTGAAAATAATATGTTATGTGTTTAATTTATTTTATATAAGTCATAATTTTTTATACATAGTTCCAGCAAAGAGGTTCAATTTGGATGTTTTCTAGAAAAAATTCGGGAAGATTTGGGACCTTACTTGAAATTCAAGCCTGCCGTGTAAGAAAATTCTTTAAAAATAAGGTGTTAAGTAGTACATATGTTGTAAATATTGCAATGTTAACTTTTTTCTCCCTTTCTAGAGAAAAACCTGTTTCTTCTTCCAGTGATACACAGCAAACTATGGAAAGTTTAAAGAAGGTAAAAATAATTCTTTGTTAATACATTGTAAGATAAAAATTCATCGAAATTGACCATATATATATATATATATATATAAAATTCATAAAAGTTTATCTTATATTTCTTGCACTTTTATATTTTCTTGCACTTTAAATTCAATGGTTTGTTTCGTATTTTATAATTGATGAATATTTCAGAAAGGGTTAACAAAATAATTTCCTGGTTTATAAGTGGAAAAGGTAGATAAAATCTAAATGTATTTAAATATGTTATAATGTATTTTCTGCCTCCTTTCTGCATGCCTTTGTGGTCTAACTGAAAGTATGCTCAGCGCATATTTGAGAGGTCCAGGGTACGAGTCCCAATGAAAGCCTTGCACATTTTTCATGTCTCTAGCATCAAAAAATCATAATGACTTTACAAAAGGTATCTGAACTAAAAGGTGGTGGACAATAATTCGTCACCATCAGGATTTGGTGACTGGTTCCTTTAATCCAAAGGATGAATGTATTTTCTCCCTCTTTTTCCGCATCCCTTCGTGATATAATTGGAACCACGCTCGCCGCTTGTTCAAGAGGTCCGTGGTTGGAGTTCTGGCGAGGGCATGGCACCTTTTTTACGTTCCCAGCATAAAAAAATCCTAATGACTGCAGCGTTTTCATATGTCTATAACCTGAAAAGCTTTAGATGTATTTGAATTTATCTGTCCTAAATGAATGGAATGTTTTCTGTTGTAAAGTGTTGTGCTGGGATATATAGTGAAGTACATAACTATGTTTGTTTGAGAGTAATTCTTAAGAAGAAGAAGATTCAGGTGTATTCTGTTCCTTTCTTCAGTGAACACTTTGTTGGCCATGAATAAGTCTAGTTTGTATTTGAGGCATACATTGTAACACATGCAAATCAAGGGAGATTTATCCAAAATTCTGGATTAGTTTTTTTTCTCAGATCTAGAAGTTCCAGGTTTGAGAAATTGCATGTACACATAATCATCGTTATGTACCTTGTTATCATATGGACGTGTAATCTTCATAGACTGTAATCTTGAAGATAACTGTTCATGATCAAGTTTTATTGGTTCACAAACTGCAAAAATTATTAGAATTTTACCGCAAAATCTTTTTTTCTTTTTTTTTTTTTTTCTTTTCTTTTTAATAAATACCTTGTCATTTTGCAGTAAAATAAAAAAATAGTAATCAATCATCTAGGATAACCATGTAATATAACTATATTCGCTAAAATATCTTTGATTATTCTAATTAAATTTTTAAGTAATTATCTTTATTTTTATGTTATTCATATCATTTAATGTTGCTTCTTTCCTCTAAATTTATTTATCATTAGTAAATAATATTTCCAAATTTCAGGAAATTTTCTCTGGCATAATCCTGAAATTAATTCTAGCAGTATGATGACATCACGAAATTTAATGCACATATTTTTTCCTAATGTATGCTGCGAAATAAATATAAAAATACCTCAATTTAGTGAAAAATTATCATTAATAGATTTTCTTTCTTTCGTTTAGCTGCAGATTGTCTGCAAAAAAAAAAAAAAAAGCCTTATTTTATTCCAGATTGGGCAGATTCTGATCTCAATCTTCAGTGGAGAAAACAACTCCTATTATAATTATATTTGTGTTTTCAAGTGTTAAGGTGCCTTTTAAGAATACACCTCACACAAATTAAATTTACCTAAAATCTAACCTAACTTTTAGCATTGTGTTGTGATTTATAAGAACCGGATTAGCCTCGTGTTGAACTGGGGATGATCATGAGTAATAATTAAATAAAACAAACAGTTGTTATCCAATGTATATATCTTAAATTTTATTAAGTTTTTTAAGTGGAAAAGTAAACGAAATTATCAAACAAAGTGTACCAAGAATAATTAAGAATAAATGTCCTCTGGGATTTATTGAATAATTAAGTGAATTTGCTACACAGTACAAGTAATACCATAATTAATTTACCTGTTAGCACAGCCTCAAAACATACCTGGAAAACCTGGAAAAGTCAGGGAATTTCATTCTCCTGTTTGAGTGGCAACCCTGAATTACGATCTAAACGGTATCAAAATTAAAAAAAAAAAAAAAAAAAAAAAAAAAAAAAAAAAAAAAAAACAAGCTTAATATTTATTTGTTTACTTTATTAAACATTTCTTTCAATGTAAATTGTTTAAGTTGCTTTGTTTTTTGTGCTAATACTTTCTCAATTCTATAAACAGACATAATTTCTTGTTCAGTTACAAAGTCCCACTGTTCAAGTCCTGTAATTGCTGTGTCAAGAATACCAACTAATTTGTCAATCGAAATTCTTTCGTTTTCAATAACCTCTAACTTTCTTCATTATTGGAAGCATGCATGTAAACGCTTACGCGCATGCGCTCATCAAACGCACCTGTGTAAACGTGTTACACGCATGCATAAGTTTGTGGCTTTGAGGTCCAGATTATAGATCATTCCCGATAATGGACGTCCGGATTACGGACTTTGTACTGTACTGCTTTGATTAACACAAAATTCGGCAGTAGCAAATATATTTATGCATAAAATAAAATCAATAATTATATTCAGAAATAAAAACAATAATCAATTTTTGTAAGTTATCAGATAATGACATACTGGAGATTTAGACAGAATTACGTATAAAGTGAAAATAAACAGCATGAAATGAAAAGAAAGAGGACATTAATATGGTATGTGATCCCCCCCTCATCTATATACAAAGTTTACAACTTGTGACCATGCTTTCAATTAGGTGGTCAACCACCGCAGAATTAAGCAATCGCCATTCTTCTTGTAGAGCAGTTTCCAGCTCAATAAGAGTGGCTGGAGGTGGGAAGCGTGAAGATACAATACGGCCGAAAGCATCCCAAAGATTTTCAATGGGATTAAGGTCGGGCGAATATGCTGGCCATGCCATACGCGCAATCCCTTCTCTCTCCAGTTTGTGAACCATTAGTCATCGACGATGTCGCCTGTATGGGGACATACGTTATCGTCCGTTAACAAAAGTAGGGCCAACTGCTCCAGCGTACAATCTCACAATATTTTCTAGGACTTCATCCCGCTACCGGACAGCCGTCAAAGAACCCCGTTTAAAGATGTGCAGGTCGGTGCGGTATCCTAATGAAATCCCTGCCCACATCATAATGCTTCCGCCTCGGAATGCATGATGTTTTGGGACTGATTGCGTGTTCGTTGTTCACGCCATATCCTTGTCATAGGGCTCCAGAGCAAATCTTTACTCATCAGTAAACATGACAATGCCCCAGTGAGACACATTCCAATTGACATGTTCCCGGCACCACTATAATCGTGCCCCTCTTGATTGGACAGATAGAGGAACACAAATTCGAGGTACCCGGGGGGCGTACAGTCCACTCATATGTAATCTTCGGCGTACAGTAGCTGCAGATATTGCCTTACCAATGGGCGCTGTAACCATAGATGTCACACGTGTGGAGGTCGCTCTGCGATTCCGCTTGGCTACAATAGCAATATATCAATCTTCCGCGGGGGTTGTAACCATTGGGCGACCAGCTACGGGCCTTTGGACAACTGTCTGTGTGGTTTGAAATTGTTTCCATAAACGTTAAATTACAGAATGATGAACGCCGAAGTAAAGAGCAACATCTGTGATCGACTGACCTGCTTCAATGCGCCCCACAGCACGGCAGCGCTCAGAATTTTCCATTCGTCTTCTTTAATTCATAGAAACACGTATGTCTTGAAAACAAATTGCACGAAAGTTTTAAACACCTTCTTTCAGCACTTACAATCAACTTCTGTAACCCTTTAAGAACTGCCTTTTTTGCATATTTCTTGACATGAAAGCGCGATTGGCTGTTTCCTAACATATTTGTATACTTCTATCTACCTCTGCAGTGAATTGCATCCTCATAAGATTCTGAGTTATAATAAGGACAAAATGTAACGCTGTTAAGTGAACCTAGCGCCGAAGTGTTGCTATGATAAACAAATATAGTGAATTTTAAAAAGTGCATTTATTCTGTTGTGGTTTATGCCCTATCGACGATGTAGATTTAATTCAATCCAATAAGTTTAAATTAAATGCAAGAAAAATGCGTATAATTTAATATTCCATGCAAGGAAGTCATGTGGTGTACGCATCAGATTTTTTTTTTTTAAATGTTAGAAAAATCTCTTCAATTATCTATCTAGATTCGCTATAGTATAGACAAGCTTGCTCATTGCATGAATTACAATTAAACGGCTAGAAAGTATATTTAAGTTGGAACTCAATGTCTGAAATATTGTGAACTAAAAAATATTTTGCATGTGCTAATCACATAAATTTGATTAATTTTAAAATAGGGTATGCAAACAAAAGGATGAGTTTATCTAAAACAAAAAAAAAATTAGAGATTCACAGTGTGTGTTTACTGCACTGTGAATCTCTTCAATTTTTTTGTCAATGTATTTTTATTAAAACTATATTTAATTACACTTATGTAATGATTTGTATGATGCAATACAAATTTTTAACCTACGTACTAAATTAAACATGCAGCAACTAAATGTAAACGATTCAATGAGTATTGAGAGGAGGTGTCTCACTGCTTCAACTCAATGCACAGGAGGAGAAACTAGTTAAGGTCTCTCCTCTTCTTCCTTCCTTCATGAATTTTTATCGCTCTTTATTTTAAATTATATACTGTATATTACTTATTTAAAGCCTTTTAAAATTTTCTTTTTGTCTTAGGCATGCGTTCATTAAAATTTTATTCATCTAATTCTGTATTATTAATATTTTTTTTTTAAAATTTATCTGAACATCTCTATACGTCAATTAGTGCAGATAGTTCAGAATTAGGTGCGTATGCTGTTATACTGGAATGTCTTTCTGAAAGCTGTTAACAACAGATTTGAAAACATTAATTTATATTCTTCCCTGTTTGCTTTATCATTTGAATTACAATTATATACTTTGATTTTAAACATAATTACTGAAATCGTACAGGAATTGAGTGAACCCCTCCCTCTTCTGTGTGTACGGTTTAAATGGTGCTTTTAAGATGAGTGTTGAAATGTAGCCCTCGCCCTTTTTTTTTTTTTTTTTTTTCAAATTTATAATTGTGTATCTTCATGAAACATTATTTAGATTCTTTTCTGGTGTTAAAAATGTGAAGGAAAAGTTTTTGTAAATGTATAAGTGACATAGTTGTGCATATACGTTCTCTTTTTAAATTTTTTAATATCCATGCATATCATGTAATATAATGTTTTTGCTTATAATATTTTATAAAATAAGCACTTCTAAGGTATGATATTTTTTGCATTTGATTTCAGAAGCTTCATAAGAAAGAAAAAGAATGTCAAGAGTTGACTGCAAAGTTTGTAAGTGTATTGTATTTATTTTAATTGTTTTGTAATTGAGAAGCAGTTTGAAATTATAGTTCTGTTTAAAGTGTATACATTCTTTTAATGCCAGTCTTGATTCTTTTAACTAATCAAAAGTTTCAAATTATTTATATTGTAATAATATTGTGCTCTTTAGTAATGCAGCTAACTAACGTTGTCAGGGTTTGTAGTGGTCCTTATAAGTGCTTATAAGTCCTTATATTTGAAAATAAAATATAAAGGCCCTTATAGGTGCTTACTTTTGCTTTAAAGCCCTTATTTTTTTGCTTTTAATGTCTCTTTTTTTTTTTTTTTTTTTTTTTTTAAATGAACACACAATTTTCCCCCGTACCAAAGCTGAAACTAAATAAACTTTTCTTCCTAATATGGAATGTCAGATGGAGAATCACACTCTTGGAAATAGCTTTTCCCTCTTTCTCTGTATTAACATAACCTTTGGTATGCGCGGAGAGTACAGACAGGTGCCCGTCGTTCTGTTGGTCAAAGAATTGCATAAGCAGTAGAAAATTCCGGTACATTCGGCATTCTTTTCCTCCCACCCAAATATTACACACGTTTGAATTTCTATCAAGATCTTAATAATTTGCATTCTCGTTCCGCTTGGTCAGTTCATATTCGTGTTTATTATGATCGTTATGCTTATATTATGAGCATATGTATGAATGTTTATAATAACATAGTTGCAGTAACTGCTGAAGTATAGTAAACTTCCAAAAATGGCTGTGTTTTAACACAGATTAGCTTTCGAATTAATAATATTCGGAATGGCTTAAATAAAGGGAAAGTAATCGAATAGTCAAAAAATTTCATTTTTTTTGGCCAATACATTATACAGTACGAAGGTTGAAAGGTTCTCCCCTTTCTCTGCAAAATCTCGAATATTGAAACTGTTACAGTTCACTGAAAAACAAGCAACGGACTTTTTTTTTTGTTTTTTTGTTTGTCATTTTCCAATCTGGATTGAATAGGACTAAAAGTACTCTGTGGTCTACCAACCCAAGAGAAGAATGAGTCTATTCCGGAAATTTAATGCAGTCTGTTGAAAATTAGAATGAAAAACACCCCAGATTGGTAAGTCTCTTTTCCTTTATTTAGTTCTTTATTCTCCCAATACCGGCAGCTGTTGAATCCGATTGCGTAATATCATCTAGGGAAGAATTACGATATTTTGCAGAGATAATTAATTTTGATGTTCGGTCCGAGATTTGTTTATGAGTACTTAAAAGAGTTTTACTGTGCTTGCAAGCAGAATATTTTTCAGTTCCATTGATTTGTTTTTATATGATGCACACACCGAAATGTCAAAAGTATTTATTTAGCAGAAAAATCTAAAGAATGACTACAGTCTATTTCCCCCTCCGCTCCTCTTTTTCAAGTTATGCTCGACAGTCCGAATATTCGCCAGTTTTTAAGTATGCGGGTAGTTAAAGTTTACTGTTAAAGGATGACTGCATGAAGCAAATTTCTGTCTTCTGCTTTCAGAAATGTTCCTCTTTTTTACTTAAATTACTTTGCTTGCAATATCTGTTAAGGGAAAACTGATATACAATGAAAATTTAGAAAATGTTCAGAATTTAGATTTAAATTAGTTAAATATCAATATAAGTGGAAAATAAATTGTATTTAAGTTCCAAGTAAATAGTATAAATATGCCTTATTATTATTTATTTCCTCTATTTTGAACTGAAATTTCATCATTAAATCTTGTAATATAGTTTAGTTCTGCATAGTTTTTTTTTTTTTTTTTTTTTTTTTTTTTTTTTTTTTCTCCTCTAATGGTAAACTAGTTCTGTAAATTGAACTGTTATTTAAAATTATAAAAAGTAATTATTTTCCATGGCTGAGGTAATGCTTATTCTCTCTTAACAAACACTGCATTTCTCATATTTTAAATTACGAGTCTAATTTTTAAGGTTATGCAGTTGTGTATAATGTAATTAAACAGGTGCTTATTTTTTTCTTAAAATGTGCTTGAAAAGTGCTTATAGGTGCTTATTTTTTTAACCAAAAAGTGGCTATGAACCCTGGTTGTGGAATTGATGTATAAATATGTGAAGAGTCCTATTGTGTGTGTGTTCTTCAGTGATGTTTTATTACACAAAATGTGTTAGTATTGTGTGTCTGTAGTAAAAGAAGCTTTGTATTTTAAGAGGGGATAAATGGTAAGGTAAACAAAATTTTTAAGTAATTATTTCAGTGACTTTTCATAGCTTGATTCAGTGATTTCATGTCACTTTTTCAAGAGGTGATCTGGTGCAGATCTCTTTTGTCCCATCTGCAATTCTCTTATCGGTCTCCTGATGCAGGGAGATCGTTGTTTTAGAGTTGGGTTATTTAACATAGTATTTATTTATGATCTCTAAGAAATGCTAGTCATTTTCAAAAGTAATTTGGGGTTTTGCTCTGTTTAAGATTTTGCTTATTAAGAAAACCAAGACAGAAATGAAAAGTGTATTTCTCTTGTTCATAACAGCTTTATTCTTTTAAGATAGCTGTGTACTTTTTTAGTATAATAAAATTTTAAAAAAAATTGTGTTTCATTACAAAATGACATCATATTATAAATTAGTAAATAATACAAGAAGTAAAATGCTCTTAACTTATGTATATATTTCATTTATATATGAATTAGTCATTTATCATAACTTACGTATTCAGTATGCCTTCTGGGCTGAATATTTTGCGGCTGTCTCCAGATAAATTTAAAAATTGAAATGTGGGTTTGGGGGTACTTTTTTCTTAGGCTATTTCCCCTTCCAACCAGTTTATATATATCTATATATATATATTTTATATAACATCAGCTGTGGCAATTTTCCTTCCTTCCACATCAATTCATCTCTTGCAAATTTTCCTGCACCCCATATCAAATTCTTCATTTAAAATTTCTTAATAAGCGAAATGTGTTTTTAGTAATGGGCAACTTCGGTACTTTCTTGTACCCGGTACGAGAGTAACGGGTACAGACAAGTACTCTGTACAAAATACCCGTTACTCAAGTAACCGTTACTTTGAAAAGTACCGAAAACCGATTTCAAGTACCGAGTACCCAAGTAACGAAATATCGGAGTAGCGGTTTGCTGTACCGGAGTACCCTAGTAACGGTTTGCTGTACCGGAGTACCCTAGTAACGGTTTGGAGTACTGAAGTGCCCTAGTACCAATTGGGATTACCGAAATACGCAGCTAGCAATTTTGCGCACTGAGGGAAAGGGAACTCTGCCACGTCACCATGTGTTTGATTTTATCTGTACGGAGTAAGATTTTGAATATCAGAGAACATGTCAACTATGGAAGTGTCTGAGGAGCAGGAGAGCGCGACGGGTTGTTTCTGGTGTTGGGTTTGTGTAGATTGTCTTTGATGGCCAGTGGGGGTTGGGAGGATTGGCGCGGGAAGTGGATGGATGGAAAACATTTTCGCTTTCGGTTGTGTCTTGTGTGCAGGTGCAGCAAAATCGATGGGTGCTCTATCAATTTCGTGAAAGAGGGTCGTCCATAAATGATGTCACGCTTGGAGGGGGGTTAGTGAAATTGTGACAGTTTGTGACAAGGTAACAAGGTGGACATCATATTTTGATTTAAAATAAAAATGTTTAAAATCAGCAGATTGAATTTTGAAGTTATTTTTAAAATTACCAAAATTTGAAGGTATTTCCTTAATTAGGGCGAAAGCAACTTTCATGTGATTTTTTTTTTTTTTTTTTTTTACTTACATTCCTTTTTTTCCAAAAAAAAAAAAAAAAAGGGGGGGGGCATTCAGAGTAGGTTTTGAGAATAGGGTAGCATCAGAAATTGTAATTTTATTGCTATTGTGTATTAATTATGTTTTTGCTGTAAACTTTTCTGTTATTACATACAAAATAAGTGCACAAATCATTATTATTGTTATATTTACAGATGTCATTAAAACATATAGTTTAAATTTAAAAATAAAGTCTGAAATATGATCTATAACGTAGTGCTACGTTTTTGAACTGCAAGTATAAGTTTACGTAATATTGCGTGACATGTGACAAAGGGGGGAGGGGTGTCCAAAATGTTGCAGAAAAGTGTGACATCATTTATGGACAGCCCCAAATGAGCATTGAAAAACGTCGGAAGATTTTCTTTGTATGATATTGAAGGAAGGGAGAGTACACTATGTTTTTTTCGGCTGTGTTGTGTTGTTGGAGGGAAACAAAGGAAAAAAATCGGAAAATAGAAATTTTGATGCAACTTTATACTATGAGTAAAAATGTCGCAATAAATTTAAAATAGAAAATTAACTATAACTAGCTGTGTAGCAACCCGATAGGATGCAGTTTCCTAAGTAAATATCAGAAATTTAATGATCAATCTGTTTTAACATGATATTTTTATTTATATACGGATAAATAACATACCACAGAAGTCGTTTAATACCTTCAATTCGGTAGTAAAGGGCATAGGGGTGCGTAGGGTCTAGACATTAAAATAATCACAAACCTTTATCCCACTTATAGATAAGATAATGACCTTCAGTACCACTGCGAAATAAAACTTATTCAAGCTACCAAATTTTAAAAAAGATAAATCTCTTATTCTCTACTCTCCCCTATATATATTAAAAATTCTGAATAAAAAAGTAAGATAATTTAAACATTAAATATAACATAAATGACCTTGTGTGTTTAATTGTACAATACTGGCATAAAATAAAATTTACACATTTATTCATATACACACATGGTTGAAGAGCTTTTCCACAAAAAAGTTTATACTGTTCCTTTTTAAATTACATTTAGGTTTATTTTGAGTTAAATTTGTACTTTTGGAGATTTGGCACCGTACAATAAACAACAAAATGATTAGAAATATTTTTAAAAACAAAAAATATGATTTTAAAAAATGCATAAACATATATATTTGATTTAAACATTTTGAATTACCAAAAGCACTAGAAAATGAGGTATGTTTTGAAAAGTGAGATAATGTAATATATTTGGATGTACTACAGTAATAAGTAAATTTCAGCAAAATGGTTAAAAATATTTTTAAAAACGCACAATATGATTTTAAAAGGCACATTCAATATAACAATTTTGAATTGAAGGTTATCAAAAAACACTAGAAAATAAGATATCAAAGGGTTTAAAACTGTGAGAGCGCAATACCTGGATGCAGTAACTGCTGTAAACACAAAATGCAACAGAATGGTAAAAAATATTTTTTTAAAACTCAAATTACAGCCAAAGCGCATTCGACATAAGAATTTTGAGTGAAAGATTATTAAAAACACTAGGAAATAAGGCAGCATGTCTTTAAAACTACGAGAACGTAATATCTGGATGCTGTAACAGCAAAAAGCAACAAAAATATTTGTAAAATCGCATTATATGAATTCAATAAGTACATTCGATATAAAAATTTAAATTAAAGATGATTTAAACACTAGAAAATAAGATAGCATGCTTTCAACTATATGAGAACTTAACATATGTGAGTACAGCTAAGTAAATAATAGAACTGTAGAACTTTATATTATATTAATGAATCTAAATACAATTTCAAAATAATATTTTTTTAAGAAATTGACATTTGAATGAAGTAATATTTCATTTAATTAAAACAAATAAAACTTTGATAGGCTGTGCAAAACGTTATAAAAGTATCAAATTTTTTAACTTTATGGAAATTTTAGGCATTTAATTCCTTCTATTTCTTTTATAAAGACCACTTAAAATATGTAACGAAAAATTAAGCATAAAAAATTGACTCCCAGGAAACAGTTTTGAAAATAATGCAGCGAAAATAAACATTTTAAAGCTGAACTTAGGTTGGAATTTTAAGAAGGTCAACAAATGATTAAATATTATAATTGTAATGTAAGAAAATTAGTTGTTTCAACTTTTGTCCACTCAAACGGTTTCGCCGATCATTCAGTATTAATCCAGCTTTAGAGAACACCCTTTCGCATGGCACTGAAGTAGCCACAAGGCCTAATTTTTTCCGTGATAATTCATACAAATTAGGAAATACATTTTTATTCTTTTCCCACCACTCCAGTGGATCAGATTTCCTGGAAAGAATGGGCTCTTGCAGGTATCTTTTCACTTCTGCCGCAGCTTTGTCGATCGCCGCGTCTGCTGCGGGAGCTGATGAAGTTCGAGAGTCTTTACTCTCAAACTCGAACCAAACCGATGATTCGTCTATCTCTTCATCATCCTCTTCCACATCCTCAACAAGATTATGGGTAGTTTGTGCAACTACCGATAACTCACAGATAATATCACTTTCAATTTTTTTGGCGACATCACATTTGAGCCCCAATTTTTTTATTCGGGGGTCAAGGAAAGCGGCTTGAGCAATGTCTTCTCTTGAATCGATAGTTGTAAATCTATTACCCAATTCACGTTGTAGTACTAGTACCACATTTTGTACTTGTTCATTAACACTTTTACTAAGCAGATTTTCACAGATTTTTTTTAAAGTCCGCCGATTAACACAGGCGCCATAGATGCTGACAAGTATTTTTCCGAACTCAACTCGCAAGTCACCTTTTCAAAAGGTTTCAAAACGTCACAAAGATGTTGGACACTTTCCCATTCTGGCACATCAAGAGCCTCTGGGGGGTCGTTCATCAAACCCATTGTAGAACGAATAGCGTCTTTCAGTTCAAGGAAACGTTTTACCATATAAAACGTGCTGTTCCAACGAGTCTTCACATCTAAGATGACTTTTAAGTCTTTTCTCTCCTCGCTAGAGCACAGATATTTTCGCAAATTTTTTGCAGCGATATTACTTCTCCTGTAAACTATCACAATATCCCTAATTTTCGTTAGAAGGTCGTTAACCTCGTTTAGAGAATTTGTGACAGCCAAATTGAGAGAGTGTGCAATGCATCCTAAATGTTTTAACTTTAGTTCGCTGTCGACAGCGTTAATCATATTTTTGGCATTGTCAGTCACTATTAAAGACACTTTTTCCATCGGAAAATATGGTTGGCAAATGTGTATGATATTTTCTGCAATATTTTTGGCTGAATGACGTTCATCAAAAATTGAGCAGTCAATCAGTACCGTTTTCCTTTGCATGTGTTCGTCAATAAAATGGCCTGTCACGGCCATGTAACTTTCAGCCTTTTGGTTGCTCCAACAGTCTACAGTCAAACAGATATTTTGTACAGCACTAAGAACGTTTTTTAAACTATTCTTTTTTTCTTCATAAGCAGCAGGAAGCAAGGATTTAGAAACCGTTTTCCGTGAAGGTAAAAGAATAGGTTGGATTCAAAGCCTTTGAGTATTCTCGGAATCCCTCATTTCTACGATACTTATTGGTTGTAAATCCTTATATACCATTTTGATCAGTGCGCGATCGATTACTTTTTTTTATGTACATCCATCGTATTTCTCTGGACAAACTGCATTATGCTGGACTGGGATTTTTGTGAAAATACACCAACAATATCACAAGCACTGTTGTCTACCGTAAGTTGTGTAGTCTGCTGGGATGTGCATGGTTGCCCACCATCTGCAGGGCTAGTGACGACAGAACGGGCTGGAGCGGCATCAATATCATCAACATCTTGATTCGGCAAAGCGCGTTTCTCGTGCAGATTTACACAAGGATGCTTCCTTTGCAAATGTTTTTTTAAATTTCCTGTTGAACCACCTTTGATGGATAAAAGGTCTTTACAAATGTCACACATAACTTTTTCGTCTTCATTAGTATAGGAAAAGTGCTGCCAAACCAAGCTGAATTTCCTTTTCTTACTAGACATTTTGTAATTCGATTTTTTTTTTTTCTGAGGCGTAAGAAACTGATAGAGACTAAGCAATTCTATAACAAACCGATACTCACCAGTACGAGACAAGAATGAATCTTATGGGAAAAGGGACGAAGTTGGGAGATGGTCATCAGCATAAAAAAATTCTATTAACAACTTCCGCTGTTCACTCCACCTGCAAATTCTAAAATCAGCACTACGCTGTGAAAAGGGTAAGTGCAAATATCGCCTAATGATTCTATTAATCAAGCATGAAAGAGCAAAAAAATGCAAAGGAAAAAAGGGAGGGACATGTATGTTTACATAAACATGTCCGGATAATTTCCGGTGTTCCATTCGATAGTTTCCCCCCCCCCTCAAATAAGCTCCAGAGGGAGTTTAAAAAAAAAAAAAAAAAAAATTCGGACTGCCAGGTCAAAGTTCACCTCTCTTCCTATCGGAGGAGCGTCGTCACGTCCTGGGGGGTAAAGCAGGCGTTGACAATCCTGCGTTAGACACGTGACCTGGGTTTAGTTTTTGGCGAGATGAAAATCTGTTTTTAGAAGGGGGAAGAATTATCATAAGTGGGTCAGTTATCTTTGTTCTTTCATTAGAAAAGTTTAAAATTGCGTCTGTATTTTATGTTGATTGGCTTAGTGATCTACTAGATGCTGTGACATTTTCTGAAGTAGGTACAGCGGGATAAAAAAAGGATCATATTTATTTAAAAAGGATCATATGATTTACGTTGCCCTATTAAGCAAGCAAACGAAAAATATTTTTCATGATTTATGCTAAAAATATGTTGAGGAAAAGGAAGTAATCTAGTTGGTAGTTGATTCCATTCACCAATCCAACAACAGCAACTTACCAAATCAATCATTTCAGATCCACGCAGTTTTTCTCCTACAAACGATGAAAAATTAAAACATGCACAATTCGGATTGCAAATCATCTAGCGCTCCCCTCCCTTTCCCTCCTGACTATACCGGCTCCAATCACAAGCGAGCAATCTGGCGACAGTGACTCCAACTGCTACTATTCCTCCCCCCCCACACACACAACGAACGGCCTTTCGAAAAATTTCCACTATTTCACACTCGTCCTCCCGCGCACACAAAGACAATTAATTATACTACCTCAAACTCTAGTCTACGTGACGAACGGAACGGAAGTTTCTCCCTTTCACGTTTCCCATTCCATGCCCTATTTCAAGGTCATTCATGGACACAAGGAGCGCATATCACCATTTAGCAAATACAACCAAATACTACTGTCCTCGTACCAAAACCGAAGTGAGCTGAACCCTCATCGATCCTCCAGTAACGAATACCGAAATACTGAGAAGAGACGCATATTTTCGTTACAAAGTAGCGAATACCGAAAAGCACCCATTTCGGTACAGAAGTAACGAATACCGAAAAGTACCCGTTTCGGAACAGAAGTAACGAATACCGAAAAGTACCCGTTTCGGTACAGAAGTAACGAATACCGAAAAGTACCCATTTCGGTACAGAAGTAACGAATAAGTACCGCTTTTGGTACTGAAGTAACGGGTACTTGGATGTACCGATTTTCAGTACCCATTACAAAATACCCGATTCGGTAGTACCGACTCATCACTATGTGTTTTACTTGTATTTTACTTTGCCTGCCCCCTTTTTTTATTTTTCAGTGATGAAGAAAGGCCAGTTTCAGGTTTAAGATTGTTTTTATTATCATTATTTCTAACTTTTTTTTTTTAATTACGTTTGGTGTATTTATATTATTGCAATAATAGAAATGTTATTTTTTGTTTTTAGGCAGCTTTATACAAATCTGGTAGTGGTGAGGATCGATCATGTTTAGATTGCAAAAACAAAATTTCAATTTTGACGTAAGTAGTGATTTACTTTTTATCAGAGAAAATTAAATTAATTGGTTTCAGTAGCATTTATATTCTTTGAATTTAACGTAACAATATCTACGTAAAGAATGTTATGCAGCGCAGAAGTATTCATGTCTAAGAGCATACAATTTTATTTTATTCAATATATATTTATGAATTATGCTTTTAATTATGGAAAGCCATTTCTAAGAAATGAAATGAGCTCATCAGCTTAATCGTAAGGCTAGTTATAGTTTTATTTAGCATAACCATTGTATCTTGTTTATATTCCATAAAATTTAAATAAAGTTTTAGATTGGTTTGCCTTTGTGTCATTCTTAAATAGTTTTACAAAAATATATACTAGTAGTTAAAAGAAGAGAAATAATGAATTGTTAATTAATGTTTAGAAATTCTGAAATAGTCAAATAAGATCTATAAGGCCTGTCCATTGCATATGTCATGCTTCTAGAAGTCACTTTGTGACTATGTGATGCTTTTATTATATATTTTGGGTGTAATGTGATATGCTTTTTATTGACTTGTGATTAATGTTTCTGTCATCGCAAGTAGTATATGAACAATTTTTTATGTTTTCCTCTAAACAATATCACAATTGCTGTTTCTTGATAGCATTTACATTGCATAAGCTACTGTTTAAATACAGAAATCTAGGCAAAGGAGAGAAAAAGATAATTTATCTGCAAAATATATACACAATTATTATAAAGGTCGTAAAGCATGCAATTTTATCATAATGCAAGGAGTTAATAAACTGTTTGACTGTGTAAAATTCTGAACTGTCGTATATTGATAGTGTTAAAAAAATTGTAATCTAATAATTTCATTTCAGATGTAAGAGCTGGGTGTGGGTATGTGTTTGTGTGAGAGAAAGGGACATAAAAGTTTTAACTTTTATTTGTAATAGCCTCTAAATCTTATTTTAATTTGGTTATTTTGCCTCTTTATTCTAAAAATAGTAAAGTTCTTTTTATAAATCTTTCTGTGGTACGTCATTCTAAAATATATTTCTGCCATATGATTCTTACATAATGTAAGTGATGTACACTGCTCAAAAAAAAAAAAAAAAAAAAAAAAAGGACAGTCCTATATCTCCCGATCTACTGGGCCGATTGACAAAATTCAAATTGCGTTCTTCATGTCTCGAAAGCGCGACTTAGGATATATATTAGATTTATATATAGAACTATTCTAACATAGGTATTTTGACACAAATTCGGACTTTTTCTGAAATAATATACCAATTTTTTTACATATTTTGATTTTACGACTCAAATTATGCCTAAATATGAAATTTTGTAAAATTTGGAGCGAAATTTACGGAGAAATTCACAAATTTATGTTGGCACTTTTTTGTCAGTTTGCGCCAAGAATACTTTACTTGGCGAACTTCTTAATATATGGCAACCTAGTTTCCTTTCCAGTGAGAGGGAAAAAAGTCACCATCGTTCCTTTTTTCCAAATAATATTCTTTATATTATATTTTTAATTATAACTTATTATTTTAAGTAATTTTTTCTTTTTCGAATTTCATTTTAATTGTTTAAGTTGCACTTTTTTTTTCCGAATAACTGTTTTAAAAATTTCCATTTACCTATTCGAACTGCGGAAATAAAGGTGCAGCGTTTATTTATTTTTTTTTTTTCAAATAGTTTTCTTTATATATATTTTTCGTCATAGTTTTTATTTTAGGTCATTTTTAAATTTTTATACTTTTATTTTAATTGTTTGTGTTGCATTGTCTCTTCAGATAATTGTTTTAAAATTTTCTATTTATTCCTTCGAACTGAGCATTTTAAATATATTTATTAATATCAATTTTCCAGAATTTGATTTTATTTATTTGAACTGCGTTTCTTTCGGAAAAATTCTTTGTAACCCAGACTACGATGCGTTTGAAAACTGCATACTATATTAAAAGAGAAAATACAGTAAAGTACAGTTTTACACGCCTTTCAATGTTCCGTTCGGAAAAAATATATATAAATAAGAGAGATGTATAACTGATATTTTAACTTAGGATGACTTGCATACACTGCTTTAAACATTTTTATCATTGTGCCCATTGCTTCACACAATTTTATCCTACATTTGGTTTCTTAAAATGTTATTCATATTTTAGTCAAATATTTATTTATTTATTTTTTTTTATTTATTTATTTATTTATTTTTTTTTTTTTTTTTTTGAAATCGCAAGAATCAAATATCATAAGATTGAAAAGTTTTAAATTTAAAAAAATATGAATGCTAAATTTTACGAAAAAATTTATTTTTCTTCTCTTTTTCTTTAAGCATTCTGAAAGTATATTGAAAAGTATCCAACTTTTCAAAACATTTTGGTATTTCTGACAATCATTTTAAATAAAGTTATCGCCTTCCATTTCATAAAGGCCCACAAACGGCCGAGCGGTAAAGTTGCTGAACACTGGTAGTTCACTCCGGGGTTCGAACACCGGTAAACGGGCTGGTTGCATGGGCGTTTTTGTGGATTTTCTCATGTATACCGCGTATGACAGCTGGTTTCCGTTAGAAAGTTCTTCACGAAGTATTTCGTCAGAGCCTTTATCAGTCTTTAGAGGCTAAACATTTTGAAGGTATGAGAGGAAAGGAAAGACTATTTTCATCCAAAGGTTTTGGTTTATTTTATTATGACAAAGCACACTACGGCTATCTGCCTAAGGGGAGGGATGCCTTCCTGGAGGACTTTCTAAAGGAAACTGGCTCGCATACACGTTACACATGGGGAAACCACGAAAATGCCCATGCAGCCAGCCCGTTTGCGGGATTCGAACCTCGGACCGAACTACCAGTGTTTGGCGACTTTACCGCTCGGCCGCTGTTTCATCAGGAAGGGAAAAAAAAACATCTTTAGGTGACATCCACATACATCACTGGATAAACTCCTGAATCTTCAAATAATTCGACTGAGAAAATCATGGGATTCACCATTTATGATACGATATGATGTTCTATAACGTAATTTACACAACCATATAGTTTAAAACCAGTCGCTCTTCACTTTAATCTGCAATGATATCGTTTTGTCTTTTCTGTTAACACAAGCTCAATTGATGGTATTGCTGGTGTACACGTCCAAGTGTTTTCTCTTTGACACCTAAATTCTTTGAAGTATCCTGAAAGTATATTCGAAAGCGTCCAACTTTTTTGAACATCTTGGTATGTCTGACAGCCAAATTTCCCTGCAAATTTTTGCTTACTTTTCTCCCTAATTTTCTTCTTTCCTTCTACAGTTATTTTCAGTGCTCACACAAGAAAATTAAGATTTTTCGACTGCTAGACTTCCATACATTTTGCATTCTTGTCAATTTTTTAAAATATCAATTATATGAATTGCGTTTTCAGCTAAAGACAGCTTTTCATTTTCTAGTCATTTTAGCTATAAATAAAGTTTAAAGCGAAGTCCAAAGGATAAATATTTTAATTAAAAAATTTTTGCTAAATGACAAAGAAATAAAACAGTCCAGCAGGGTTTATTCTGCACCACAGAGTAACCCGATTCTTATATCGGCTGAAACAATCTAAATCATACTAAAGATCATGTGTTTTTTATACAGTCTAGAACGAGAGAGAAAAATTAGCTTCTTAAAACATTCTTTCTAAGAGAATTAATATAAAAGATTATATTTATATATATATTTTTAAAGCTGGGACTTGAACCAAACTGTCAAACTTTTAAAGTTTAATTTACATAGTGGTTCAATTTGAAATGGTCATAAAAGGAAAACTACCGGACCAAATGTTATCAATATTGGGAATCGTGTAAAGGAGGTTATGAGAATTTATTTTCCGCGGAAAAAAAGAGTTTAAAAACACACCACCCGGGGGGAATGGCGCTGTATACAATATTGTTAAAGGAAATAAGACACGAAAACATCTGTTTAAAATGCGTTTAATATTTTCCGAAACGTGTTACAAAGCATGTTCAATGTAGCGTCCAGCATTTTCCGAAAGCAAGTTAAATCATGTTACTGAATTCTCAACAGCAGCTCTTAGCATATCAGGTTTGGTTTTGGTTTGGTTTATTAGATTACGGCAAAGCACTCGAGGGCTATCTGCCTTAAGGGAGGGATGCCTTCGTGGAGGACTTTTTAAGGAAAACTGGCTCGTATACACGTTACACATAGCATATGAGGAGGAATGTTATCAGTGTATCACATTTTTCATTTCTGCCAAATTGTTTAGATTATCACCATAAACAGTGCTTTTGAGATAACCTCATAGACAAAAGTCACAGAGGTTGAGGTCTGGTGGGAAGAGGGGAAGTGTTGGCCTATAAGACGTTCATTCGTGAAATGTTGCCTAAGTAACTATGCGACACTCTTGAGGTGGTCCCAGCCCTGCATAAAAATCGTAGTATCTAAAATGCCACGTTACTGCAGTTCATGTATCACGAAACATTTTACTATTGGCTCTAAGTGAGCTGCAATCGCAGTAGTCCAGCTGTCCACTGCTCTTCAGACAAAAATGGTTCAGTTATAAAAACTAGCTGTCATTCAACAGTAAACGGTGTGAAATGACTGTTATGCAATCGAATGCAGTAGGAGAATGCAATGGAACTAGATAGATAACATGAGAGATTTCTTTGGCCCAAATCGGTTAAAAGTGCTTTGAATCAGTATCTTCATGTTTTAGTGCCGAATTCAGGCTTAAAAAATTACAAATTAGCGATCTGTAAGAAAATGATTTCCAGATTGTACGCCCTTGTGAAAGTGATTTGCGATCTCACATTTTCTAATCGCTAATTCGTGGTTTTCACGGACGAAATTCTCACTTACAGGGATGGCGCACTCGACATTTATCGAATTTAACGTCTTTAAATGGTAATTTGCCTACTTCAAAGATTCTTAAGGCTATACAACATATTAAACCCGTTTAACAAAAGGTTAAGTTAGATTCCGACCCATATTTCGTTTAACAATATTGCATACAGCGCCATTTTCCGCCCTGGTGGTGAGGTTTCGAAATTC